AAGAGGGTCGACGTTGCAGGCGGCCGTGCTTTGAGGATCATGGCGATGAGCTCGGAGCAGAAGATGCATAGTGCCATCAAAAACCGCGCCAAGCAGCACGAGCGCGTGTGCGAGCGGCTGCAAAAGAAGGCGGGTGTGCAAAGCGTTCAAGGGATGGCGCCTTTGAAAATTGCGGGGGAGGCTGCTGGGGAGGCTGCCGGAGTACCAATACTGAGCTTGAACATGGTGAGCTTCGACTACAACGGAAAGCAACAACCGCCGCAGCTGCGGAGGATTGATTGCTCGCTCTCCGCGCGTGACCGCGTGGCTCTCATTGGAGAGAACGGCTCAGGCAAGAGCACCCTGCTGAAGCTCATCTTGGGTTTGCTGGCTCCGCTGGAGGGCGAAGTGAGGATGCCACATCCCCTGCGCATCGCCTACTTCCCGCAGAATGCGGCCATGGAGTTGGTGCTGAACCCGAGCTTGGGAGAGTTGAGCGTCACAGACCTGGTGCGGCAAGTGGCTTGTGGCGAGGTGGCGGTCGAGGGCGCTCGCGGCACCCGGGAGCCGATGACATGGTCGGCGCTCCAGGCGCGGCAGCACCTGGGCCACCTCGGCCTCACCAAGACGCTGGCGGAGCGGCGGGTGTCATCCCTCTCCACCGGGGAGAGGACGAGGCTCTACTTGGCGCTGCTGTTCATCGGCTTGGACAAGAGGCCCCCGAACCTGCTGATCCTGGACGAGATCTCGGACAACCTGGACACGGCCACGGTGGACAGCTTGGTGGCGGCCTTGGCGTCCTTTGAGGGGGCCGTCCTTGCGGTGTCTCACGAGCGGACAGGGTTCCTCAACCGCTTCGCGAAGCAAGAGTGGCGGCTGCACTATGGGGAACTTGTGGTGTCAAGAGCAAACGCGGGCTATTCTCCCGGCCAGTGGTGAGGGAGATGCAACACAGATGCGGTGCCTTCAGTCAGTTTCCAACTGTCACTTCGTTGAAACTCGCCGGCATTGGTTCCTGATGTCTGGCCGGGTCGGCACCATTTCCTTCCTGTACAGATGAAGGGCTCCCAATCCGCGGTGCGCCTGTATGCCTTCTGCGAGGCATTTTGTAAGGCGCCAAGCGCCGAGCGCCCCGCGCAGTGCGCATTGGATCGAAAAGTTGCAGATCTCTCGTGGGCATTTTCTGCCAGAATTCGAATTGCCACTCGCGGTTCGGCCATATCCACGCGACCTCCGAGGATGTGTCCTGGCTTCGGGCGCTCTACGCCTGCAGCGGAGCGGAGGGTGGCCTGGAGTTCTGGATCTCTGGCCCGGGGGCGCGCGAAATGGAGGCAGTGAGTGTTGGTTGGCTGGCTGGCTGGGCGTGGCTGAGCTTTAAACGTTTGATTTCTTGAATATCCGCCATATCCTCAAGTCATGCTTGGGGGTCCGACATATCCTAGACGTGCCCGCGTGTAGGAGGAATGTTGAGTCTTCCGGTTTGCTTACTTTGAAGCGGGTTGTTCTCAGGGGGCGATTCTTGGGCCAGGCCACCCAACGTCCTTTGGTCGGTCGGCCGCTTGCTTTGAGTTGCCTCTGGGACCCCCCAAAAGCATCATAATGCATAACATACCAACTAAATAAGAGCGAGTACTTAAAATATGTTGAGTATCAGTATAATCCAAAGGATCAAAACCACATTCATAACCCCACCCTCCCCCCCCCCCTCCCGGAAATCGAGCCGAACCGACAGCAGAGGCCTGGGAGGACCGCCGGGTGGTGGAGGCGCTGGTGGCGCTGTTGCGGCGCTGCGCTGGCGTGGCAGTGCCGGAGCCCCAAGGCCTGCTGCGGTCCAAGTGGGGCGCCTGGACCTTTGAGCGGCGAATGAAGTCGATGTGAAGGTTTGGTTCTCGCAAACTCACTTGAGTCACAATCAAAACCCGAGAAGGTTAGTTAAGGCACGATCCCAACCATAAGTTCTTGAAGCATGGTTCTGGGATTGCGACCATTCTTGTACGGGGTTTTGAGTGTGACTCACGTCTCGGTTTTTGAACTGGGCGGTGCCCAGCGAATCGTCCGGGTCAACTTAGGTTGTTTTAGCTGTTTTAGTTGGTTTAGTGGGGAAGCTGTTTCCAATGTGGCCATTATGACCCACTGGAAGTGAAACTCGTGACTTTTGGCAGGGGATTTGTAGTTGCCTTTGAGTTGGCCCCTTCTGGTTGGCTTGCAAGTTTTTGAAAAGGGAACCCCCAAAAGGAAGCCAGTTGCGTGTTGGATGGCCCCATGAAGCAAACATAGCTCCTGAAAGCATATATTGGGCCCATTCCCTTTCAATTGCCTGTTTGGTTGAGGTCTTGAACCAATCCACTAAGGAAGTGTGGCTTCGGTCGGTGTCGGAGAGCTGAAGTGATTCTTTCGGAACAGCTTCTTTTTTAGGAAGCAAGAGACAGACCCATCTGTTCACGCGTGTTCATGTCGAGTGGAGCGATTCCCCGCGAAACCGCTGGCGCTTTTCGGTTTAGCATTGATGTCGTTAGAGAGGACTTTTCTTTAGCGTCCCCGTTGCTGTGAGGACGCTAAATATATATATGAGGCTCCGAGCCCACGATCCGCGGCTCCTACTCCTTCGTGGCGACCGGGGCCAGCGGGGAGGACATCGACGAGCTCGCGCGCCCGGAGGGGAGGGGCCTGGCGCTGCAGTTGGCCGGCGAGCACACCCACCGCAGGCGGGGATCGAGGAGGTTGGGGGTGAGGCGGGTGAGGTTGGGGGGGGGGGGGGGAAATGGAAATGGGCGGGGAAGGACCGGATCTGGCTGGACCTTTTCGGGGAAGCCAAGACTTGTCCACTTGGTGGAAGTGAATGTTTTTTTGGTTTTTTGTTTTTCTCGGTTTTCACCCTGTTGGTGTCAAAAGGGAAGCTATCACTGCTGGAAATATGTGTTTTTTTCTCCAGGGGGCTAAAGCAAATGCAAGAGCAGGAGTTTGTGTTGTAACGTGAAGCAGGCAGTCGGCCCTAAATCTGCGGGAGCTGGTCTGGTGGGGTCCTTAAAGCTGAGCAGGGGCATCAGGGAGCTAATTCTCCAGACTTCTGTTCGGTGATGTAAGAAACCTCCAAGGAACTCCGTGCTGCCGACTGACCAAAACACGTAACTGGGGGGGGGGGGGGGGTACGTGAGAGTGGACAGTCCCAAGCATTGCGGGGTACCGCACCGCAGGTGGGAATGCTCCTCATGGTGCCTTCTGTGGGTGTTTTTTTTAGCCAGGGTGTGTAATGTCTGTAAAGCCGGGCCAAAGCACTGTAGGGCAACACTTGCTGCAGCCAGACCCTGGTCTGGAGGTTGTTGCAGCAATGGTCCAAGCATTTTGCACACGGGGTTGGCCGACCCATGCTAGTTTGAAACAATTGTGATTCGAACATGATTGAAGAAAGGGGTCAAAGGGTCATTGACCTCGTCGTTTCTCGTTGCTCGCAACCAGCGGTGCTTTGCAGATGTTCGAATGGGACGATCTCACGGCCAGGTACTACTCCACGCTGCACGGCGCTTGGTGGAGCGGCGTTCGGGTGGCCGAAGCACTGGCCGCCCACGAGACGAGAGGCCCTGGCTGAGAGAGCGGCGAGGATTTCGGGGGCTGAGTGGCCCAGCAACCAGCAGCTGGCAGCTTGCCTGGACGGAGCTGCGTGTGCGGGGCCAAGAGGGCAGCGGTTCTGGTGGTTTGGCCACATCGGGAGAAGTGCTTCTGCTCGACGGCAAAAGCAGATTACTGGACGAGCAGCGGCGCTTGAAAGATGGTCACGCTGCGGCTTGACGCTGCGCTGACCCAGGAGAAGGACAAGCAAGAGGGTCATTCCCCAGGACACGTCCCCTTTGAGGGGCTATGACTTCCCTTCGCAGGGTACTTACAGCAAGTTGCACGACATAGGGCTGAGACGATCTACGTATTGGATGCTGAATGCTCATCCCCTGCATTTTGTTCTGAGTTTGGCTCTTTCTATCAAGTGCGCCTTCATCAACCAGCGGCCCATGCGGACGATGTTGCCATTTTCTCGGACGCGTCTGAGCAGAGTGGTGCGCGGCCAAAGGGGGCCTTCGCGGCGTATAGCTGATCAACGCTTGGAGGTGTCGCGCTGCGGCGGCTTGTTGGCGTTGATGTCCAGGAGCACCCGGTAGCAGGTGTTGTCCATTTCAATCTGGTGCTTCCTCGCAGATTCCTTTGTTCCACAGTGGTCATCACTACAAATGGCCGATGTCCTATGATTTCTCATTCAAACCTGCCTTTTTGCCTGCACGCAAACCGCCAGAGCGCCATGGTTTCCCCAAGAAGTTGAAGTGGAAGAGGGGAGGCGCATGCTCAGATGAGGCCCGAAGGTGCCGCTCGACGAGCGGCGCGCAGCTTGAAAAGAGCGAGCGCGCTTGCGCCTTTTTTGCGCACACGGGGTCTCGGGTGTGAGTGTGTGTGTGTGTGGATTGCGGAGTGGGCAAGAGCATTGCGGGCTCTTCAAACACATTGGTCGCCATTGCAACTTTCTTTGATTGTCCCTTTGAGTTCCGTGCATAGAACATTCCCCAAATTGCAAGAAACTGCCAGTCATAAGGTTTCTCAACGGCTTGCGTTTGATATCCTTCTGTTGCCGTGGGTGAATCGAACGCGACTTAGTTGGCCGCGCTCGGAGGGTTGTTTCTTGGGCAACTTGGACCGGAAGGCCAGCCTTGATGGCTAAAACGTGTTCCAACCTGTCCGAGTTGGTGCTACTTTTGCATGCCCGTGCGCGGGCCAGCCGGCTGCCATTGGACTTGGAAGACGTGATATTTGGAGAGCAATGGACCAATAGGTGAAAAGAAAGGGACATTTCCCTCGAGAGCGCAACAGAAGCGCCGCCTTTGATCCTTGTGGTGGGCTGGGGTCCTTTGGTTGCTTGTCCCAAAAAGGGAAACCGTTTATGACGAATGTGCCCTCCGGTCGACTCTCGTGTGACACGTGGGGAAGTGGTCTGTGCGAAAACATTCTTCGAGCCTCCTATTGGCCGAAGCGTGGCCCCCGAGGCTTCCGGCTCTTCCTCATGCCCATTGATGCCTGGAAGACCACCAAGCAGGTGGGGAAACCCAACTCAACTTGTCGTGTCTCCAGGTCCAAAACCAAGGAATCCACCCACAACCGGAGAAGCAGGTCCTCAGCCTACACCGAATCACCCTGAGAAGCCGCGAAGGGGTGCAGATGATGGACGCAAATCCTGAAGTTGTGTTTGCCCGCTTGCTCGCTCGGAGTTCGGATTTTGGCAAAGCCGTTCGGGGTAAGTAATCGGCCTGTGCCAAACTTGCTGAACCAACACACAGCCACTTAGTCACAGGCACCCACTGTTCGGCATTGGAAGAGAACCGAAAAGAGGCCCAATCAGTTTGTGTGGCTTATGTTGAGACACACACACACAAAACTTAGACCGTCTTCCATCTTTATTTTGCGCATGGGCACAAGGGAGGCAGGGAATGAAGCGCAATCTGAGTTTTCTTTGGCCAGGGCTTCCACGTTTGTCATCCCCATCTAGGGTGTTTCCTCAGTTTTGGAGACCCCAGCTTGGTTCCTTGACCCTTTCATGTTGTGTCAAAAACTGGAAAGCAAACAACAACAATTGTGGCGTTTTTTCCAGCTTCCCTTCAAAACAAGAGAACCAAATATAGGAATACATGTGTTTTTGCAAATACCACAGGGTAACGCGCTTAGTCCTACCCTTTGTACAATGAACATGAATGACTTCGAATTACCACAAGGGGGAATTGATTTTGTAGCACAACATTGTGTTGCTGATCGTATATTTATGAATACCTTCCAAGACTAAGCACCCAGGCTCCGAGACTTCCAAAGATCAAGCAGCTCCGAGCAAAGAACTCGACAGGTGGAAGGCGAGGACGGCCTGAAGAAGCTCATTCAGAAGACCAAGAAGCCACGCCCCCGGAGCCTCCTCCACGCACAAACGAGCTCACGGAACTAGGGGTAAAACGAGGGAATTCCTTGGGCTCTTAGGAAAAGAAAGGAAAAGAAAGGAAAAAAAAATCTTCAAGGACTCTTCAAATCATTAAGGGCCAGCAAACTGTGTGTCTCTCAAAAAAGATGTCACTACGGTGGTTTCACCCTAGTCCACCATCTCAACGCAAACTGCTGACCCTTTGGCCAGTCAACTTTGCATCTCGGCGTGGGCTGGATTTCATCTCATTTCTGCGCAGATTCTCACACCAACAGGAAGACTCGCCAAGTTTGTTGTCCTTTCTTTTCCTTTCTTTTCCTTTCTTTTCCTTTTTTTTCCTTTCCTTTCCTTTCTTTTCCTGTCTTTTCCTTTCTTTTCCTTTCTTTTCCTGTCTTTTCCTTTCCTGTCTTTTTCTGTCCTGTCTTTTTCTGTCCTTTCCTTTCTTTTCCTTTCTTTTCCTGTCTTTTTCTTTATTTCATTTCCTTTCTTTTCCTTTCTTTTCCTTTCTTTTCCTGTCTTTTTCTGTCTTTTTCTTTCTTTTCCTTTCATTTCCTTTCTTTTCCTTCTCCCATCTTTTCCTTTTCCTTCTCCCACCTTTTCCTTTTCCTTCTCCCATCTTTTCCTTTTCCTTTCTTTTCCTTTCTCTTTTCCTTTCTCTTTTCCTTTCTCTTTTCCTTTCTCTTTTCCTTTCTCTTTTCCTTTCTCTTTTCCTTTCTCTTTTCCTTACTCTTTTCCTTACTCTTTTCCTTACTCTTTTCCTTACTCTTTTCCTTACTCTTTTCCTTACTCTTTTCCTTACTTTTTTCCTGTCTTTTTTCCTTTCTTTTTTCCTTTCTTTTTTCCTCGTTTGCATTATATATATATATGTCTTCCGTTGCAGAAGGACCAGTCGCCTAATGGATAAGGCGTCATCGTTGTCGGACGTGACCGTGTGAGCACATGACGATGGTGGTTCAAGTCCACCCTGGTCCGTCTGCGCGGTTTTCAATTTTGTTTCAAGTTTGCAACACTCAGAAGAATATGAAGCGGCACGCACGGCACTTGCCACGCACAGAGAAAGCGGCACGCTCAACCCATTTGAGGCATCCCACCGCCCTCTGGCAGGGCGGTGTGGGCGCCATGACCGCCACCTGGGCGTGGGACTTGGCCAGGAGGGGTTGGCCGTGGTTCGCAGGCGTCCGGTTTGGCATTTTAAGTTGGTTTAGTGGTTGGACGTTCCATTGAATTGACTAAAAGTTGTCGTTTGTTGGTTGGTTTGGTGGTGTGTTCCGTTGAATTGACGAAAAGGTTAAATTTGTTGAAAATCTGAGGACAGTGAAGGTGTAGTTTGTTTGTTTTTTTGTTGGGCTTCGGAGTTGGGAACCGATGTGTTTCGTTTGTTTAATAGGTCCGGCTCGGGGCTTGACTGAGGTGGCTGGCTGGCTAGCTGGCTGGCTGGCTGGCTGGCTGGCTGGCTGGCTGGCTGGCTGGTTGGTTGGTTGGTTGGTTGGCTTGGGCGGTCGCATCTCCCGCACTGGCCTCCCTCTGACCTCTGACCTGCCATGGTTTCCAAGGTGGGGCACTACCCGTGGTTCTACACGAACAACCAGCTTCGCCGGCGGACCTAGTGCACGAGCTCGCGTTGGATTGGCTCAGGGAACCACGCGGTCGGGGTTTGTTTTGGTGGGGGTTGTTTTTCGGAGAGAGACATACACGTGTACATCTATGTATATACAGTTCACGTAAATGTTACATGTTGCCAATGTACATCACGAAGCAAGTATTGTCACAAACAAGGCAAGGGGACTTCCTACCTGGTTTGCATTGGCCACAACCCTCTCTCCATGCAATCAATAGGCGAACTGCTCAAGAGACGCTGTCGTCCCTGCCATCTTTGGGGTCACCCGATTTGGACATCATATACCCAGGAGATCACCCCAGTTTAGCTTCCATGCCATGTCATTTGTTGCCCAGAGGCCACCAGCAAGGGTCCTTTCTCTTCAAGCTGCCTAGGCCCTCCCGGCCTCAGGGTGACGCACTTCCTCGCAAAAAATAAATAAAAATGGAAGTGCACACACCCCGAAAATGGACAGACCACTGTTGTGCTGGACAGGACGCCTGTGACCCGGCGACCTTTGTTTGCAACATGGTCCTCGAGCCGAGGTGAGTCCTTGCCGCAGCTCGACTTTGCGTACGGCAAGTACGTGGGAGCCCCGGAAAAAAGCTTCTTCTTTTTCTGCGATTGGATACCTATTGGGTTGAGCAGCCTTGGAGTACCACGAGTCGGGCAGCGAAAAGGGCAACAGTTGGAAGTGGTGCTAAGAGCTGCGCCGCAAGTCTCGTTTGAACTGAACTTGCGATTCAAGTGACATGTCACTTGACAAAAATTTGACATGTGGATGGTTTCTCCACCAATCAGTTACAGGGGTATGCAACAGCAGACACGAAGAGGCCGGACGAGAACTTGGCTCACGGTCTCCCTACCAAAAGAGGACGCACACACGGCTGTACAAGATGTTTTTCCAATTCCGCGAGCGCGCCAAGTTGTGTCAAGGAAATTCAACTGGCCCTTGGCCTTCAAAGCCCTGCCCATGCCCAGTTCTTTACAATGAGTTTCCTCTCTTTCGCAGGGTAAGTGGGAAGGGAGGCAGGTTGTGCGAGGTCAATCCCTGATGTTCTCGGAATCTTCCAGTAACTCCTCCGCTTCCTTCGGATTTTAGTGGGTTTAGCGGTTTCCATGTAACCCGCAAAAAGTCAGATGGCGATCCCGCCCAGTTCTATGCTGGAGACTCCACGTCCGCCGAGGTCAGGAATGCCTTCATCGGCTTTTGCTCGGCCGCGGTGTCTGACACCTGCCACTCGGGTGAACTCGCAGGGTTCCAGTGGTTGCATGTGGCTGTGGGTCAAAAATAGGGTAACCCCAAAATGGGTTGCCCCGGAAAATGGAACCAAAGACTAAAACCGGTCCCCTGGTGGCCTAATTTTGACCCACACCCATGTGGTTTCCTTGTGTGTGACCTCCGTTCAAAGAAGGGCGCTTGTTTGCTTTTGGCGTCAATTGAAAAGAGGGGTTCGCCGTACAAGTTGGTCCCCGCTAGCAAAATAGCTTTCTCCCAACTGTGGCTTCCCTTCAAAAAACGCGCTTGTCCTACTATAGCATCCCTTCAAAAGAGTTCAAATATGGCTTTCCTTCAATACAATAAGGATTTCCTTTCAAATATGCGGTGTCCCTTCTTCGCATTTCCTTCCTCGTCCTTCAAGAAAGGTTCCTCGGCTTTTTCTTCAATGGAGATCTTCTCCTCCAAGTCTCCAAGTGTACTGTCCCTTCACCTGGGTATGGGACAAAATCAAACCACCAGGGGACCGCAGGTTTTAGTCTTGGTTCCATTTACCAGGGTTCCCTTTTGGTTGCGTATTTGGACCCATAGTCACATGGACTCTTCCCTCCAAGTTTGTTCCAGTTTCCAGTTTTCACGCCCTTTTCCGGCGAGTTCCCCCCCAAATGATTTCCAACTTTGGTTTACCTCAGTTGTCCCCTTCCGAGGTCAAGCCGACGGTCCCTTTTTGAAACCGGACACCGCATCTTTGGTGCATCTTGCTTGAATATTAGGACTTTAAGTTTTTGCCAACTAATGGGTTTTCCATAACACCGCTAAAAGTCAAGCTTTTAGCAGGAGCAGAAAGCAACCGAGGATTCTGGGGAAGAGAAACGCCGACGCGAGGCTCCAACTCCTTGCGGGTGCTGAAGACCACACGCCAGACCTCCCTGGAGCCGGCTGGGCGCCTAAGAGGCGACTGGCTCCGGGTGCTTTATGTGGTTTTTGGTTGGGTTGGCACATGGGGCTCAAAATTAAGCCCGCAGGTTGTGGTCCTTTCAACTTACCAGGGTATGTTGGTACCGGTTTTCTGAGCCACAGCATGGTACAAGAGCTGATCCAATGCCTTCTGACAGGCTGCGAGTTGGCCAGGAGGTTGGTGTTGTTTGGTTGGCGCTTTTTGTTCCCTCTGAAGAAAGCAAGCAAGAATGAGGACTTTCTGGCAGGGTGCTCCTGGCGTGGAATTTCCTAAGGACCTCAAGCACGACGACCCATTGCGCGATTGGGGCTTCTTTGGGCGAACCATGTTGTTCGAGAACTCGGTACTGGAGGTCCGAAATCCCGCACACAAGTGAGAGATGCTGAGCAGATTTTTTTTTTTTTTTCCCGCTCCGAGCCTCTGACTCGGAGCGTGAAGAATCATCCATGGCGTTTTGGGTCTCATCTCATTTGAAAGGGGCGATTAGGGAGCGGGGTGCCAACCATTTGGCCAATGCTCTCGTAGCTTCCTCTTGGCCACACTGAGGTCAACTGCAACCCGAGTGGGATGGGGTTTCATTCTTTTTTTTTGCATGAGCACTGAGGTGGGCTACATGGAGAGCGTGCCTTGGCCAAGATGGGCCGTTTCGGGGGCGGAGGTGAGCTGATCGACACAGCTGATGGTAGATGCGGTGGTTTTGCTTTGCTAGCCTAGAGCGGGTCACTTGGTGTGATTACAGCTATCAGTCAAGGATTCTTGACCCTGATTGTTCTCGGGCATGGAATTGTGAGTGTGCCCCAACATGGGAGGGGGCCCTGCACGAATTGGCAACAGTTTCTTTTCTTTTCCTTCGACCGTCCAGGTGCCCTTGCTCCAGTCTCAAGCCTTACCATGTTTGTAGTAAGAGGCGCTGGAAAAAGAAGGCCATTCACAGACGTGCGTAAAGTTTGACGCCATGCTTGCGAGTTCGTGGCGAGACCGGTCTTCCATATTTCACGGATCTCCACATGTGTCCATGACTGTTCCACACATGTTAGGGCTGCTTGCCTGCGCGGATGTCGTGAGATGAGCTGTACGTCCTCAATCCGGGTGTCCAGCGGTGAATCGGGGCTTCAGTGGGGCAACGTATCAGTCACAGCACGACCTTTGGTCTTCGCTTATGAAGCGGAGCCCCGGTCGGGGCCATTCAGCTCTCCCAGTTGCCGGGGAAAAACGCCAGGGGGGCAGCCTCAAAATGTCAAACCGAGCACATGTCAGCGCCCGTGGTGTCTCCCTAGCCATCTTCCTTCGCCATGCGGCTATGAATGGCGATAGGGAACGCGGGAACACCCACCTCAATGTTTGAACACAGAATTCCCCACGCGAGCCAGCAAGTTCCCAAGTGAAAGCTATACCCCAATGTGCCCCAAAGGGTTTTGGGGCGACGCCCGAGGCCAAGCAGATCATCGACAAGGACGGCCTGGCTGGCCTCTTCGGTCAGTGCCCCAGTGGGGGTCAAAGCCAATGATCGTTGGCGAATTTCAGCAGCTGGGTCTACAGGGTTTAACTGTTGGTAGAACGATGATGGGTTAACCGTCCTGCCAAAATTGCTTGGGATGGTTCCAAAAGGAGGCGAAGATATAAGGCGATTTCCCAATGGCCAAAGGATCATCGCCACTCCTTCCTTCCAATGGACGTCGCACAGGAAAGGTTCGCACTTCGCATCTTTGCGAAGCTCCGTCGAAATGTCAGGAATATCCGGAGCATTTGGGAGGAAAGGTACAACACAAACCAGGGTGGCTCGCTCATTTCAGATGTCCAAGAGCGTTTTTTTCTGCGTGGCTCGCGTGAAAGCATGCCTTGCCAAGAAGAGACATCATTCCGCTGGTGAATTATCTCTAAAAGGCCGACCTGTTCAATAGTTCAGCTGACAAAAATTGCCAACCTCAAAGGGTTCCTAGTTTCAGCACACTTTGCGACACATGCACAGACACACAGAGACATCATATTTCTATATACATATATGCCACCCCCTGCTTTTCAGGGACCTACCTTTCTAAAAAAGAATTCAGTGTTTTCTGCCCTTGGGGCTTTGGGGAAAGCGCCGAAAAAAGACAAAGTATCGTAAGAATTTGGAAGCTTCAGAAACCGACTCAAAGTTCAGTCGGGTTCAGTCGTTTTCAGGGCAAAAACCGGGTTCAAGGTGGCAGAGAAAACTGAAAACTTGGATCTTGAATCTTGCATCCAGCCCAAACTGGAGTTTTCAGTCGGTTTGAAACGCAATACGAGATAGAGTTAACTGGTCTACTAGTGAGTTGAGAGATCCTTGGTTCTAATCATAGGTGGTCCTAGTATCCTTCGTTACAGTTCTAGATGTGGCAACTCGTGAACTGGAGAGGAAACATCGAGATTTCCGGGGGGGAGAATATCTATACAAACATACACAGATTGTTTTTCGAGGGTGCCCTTTTGCTTTTTTTTTTGTGCGGGGAAACCAAAAGGACGATCACCTATTTTGAGACGACCCCACACACACGCACACGCCCTGAATCGCGTGCTCGGCACGCAACCCACAGGCCGGGGGTTGAAGACGCGGATCTTGACCAACGGCGTGCAGGGCGCGCTCTTCACTGTGGGCCCGAGACTCATCCCGCGGCATGGGTTGTTCGGGGGGTGTCTCGTCACGAATTTGAGACCAAATTTGAGGGTCTAGGTCCCCCAGTTAGGTGCCCTGTCTCACCCTTTTTGGTTGGGAGGACTCACCTACTAACATAGCCTACAGAAGAAAGGGTAGCCTACAGAAAAAGGGTACCCTTATTCTAACCTCTCTACTGGAGGAAAGAGGGTTGTTGTTTTTGTACGGGAGCCGCCAACGAGAGCCATAGAAATCTCCTTTTTGAGAAACACGTGCATAGCAAAAGAATGAGCTACTCAAGGGGAGGTGCCGACCACCCATCAGCGAAGGCCCAATCGAAGATGCTGGTATGTGGGCGTTCCTCACTTTCTGTGTTGCTTGTTCAAGCTTCATAACTTGTATTTGTGGTTAAGTGGTGACAACCAAAGCAAACATTCCAGTGCTTCCAACACCTCGGTTGGGGCGCGGACATGCCCACAGCTCTGTTTGCAGGGCCCAAACTGGGTCCATTTCCCTGTGCGAGTCACGAAGGAAAACCCATCCTGTACCCAGCAAGAAACTGGCTTCCTATCATATTGCCTGGGATTGGTTTTCTCAGGTTTGGCCACCTATCATAATGTTGATTTCGGATGAATGAACCCCTGTTTATGGGGGTGTTTCCCTCGTGGTGAATGTTCACAACCAGGGACACCCCCATATTAATCCACCTGGGTTTTTATTCATGGCTTGCCTGGGATCCACTGTTTTGTTTTTCTCAGGCTGGAGGGCCATCTCGGAGGCCCTGAACAAGCCAGGGCCTTGGTCGCCGGTGCGTGGCTCAAGCCCCGGCTCCAGCGAACGAGCAAAAATGGGAACCCACCAGGAATTGGGTGAGTTTGGGGCTGCCTTTCGACTCGGGACACAACAGGAGCCCCAGAAAGAGCTTGAACACTGTCCTACTCGTAGCTGCGACGAAGATGCTGTTTTTGAGGGGGATTTAGGGGATGATGTTGTGTTTTTCATCCACCTTCGGCAGGTGTCATGGTTGGTGCTTTCGTGACCGCGCCGACACAAAGCATCGAAGCAACATTACCGAATCGGGCAAGGGGAAGAGGTTGCTGGCAATGACAAGATTGGCTGCCGTTGTTATACTGAAGGTAAACGATGCCCCCCAACACTGCGGCTGTTTGTTGAGACTATGATTTTGACTTCGTTCGGCATGGAACCTTGCGGCGCCTACCTGACCCTCCGGACCCTCCTGAAGGGTGCCGGGATGTTCGAGTCCGACGCTGTACCATGATGCGCCGGGTGCCTGCTAGCCTGGTGCATCGCGGAGTGTTCATTGCACACGCTCCACGTTGCAGAGACATTACACCGTCTAACTCGAGAACAGCCAGATTGTCAGTTGCAACGCTCGCGCCACAGACATTTGCGCGTGCGTTCGAGAGGTCCGACGCTTTGACGCCAACCCATATGTCTAAGATACCCATCAGTTGATTTCCCGATGCGCTAGATATGGTTGTCCAGTTAAGTGGAAGGCCGCTTCGCAAGAGGCACTGGGCGTCGATTTTGGGCATTTGTTAGCTTCAGAGAAGCCTTCAAGCCTGCGATGCTTTGTCAGCAACTAGGGGCAAGGCCTTGACTCAATCAGCTTTGGCCATATAGCAAAATCAACCGGCTCCTTCCCTGTGAGCAAGGCCCAACATTTGGGGTGCCCCTTTTGTGGCCGAAAGATGTGTGCCAGCTGTACCCATTAAGGTGGGGTATGCCAACTGATTGCTCGCTATATGTGGTGCATCTTTCAATAGGTGACACCGCAAAATGAGTTCGCTTTGGTTTCCCTTTAAACCAACAACTACCCCGAACAGATGGTACCAACCTCAAAAACCAAGGGTCTCAAAGGCGGAAGCACCCAGATCTGCTGTTTTTTGGCCGCGAAAAGGCGACCTTTTTCGGCGCCGCAGGCCCAAGTGAGGCCCGATGTGAGGCCCGAAGCCCCAGCGCGAGCGAAGGGCTCTCTGCGGCGCTTTTTTCTGCGCGCCGGGTTTTTGGTGTTTTCGTTTGGGGGAACCCCTTCCAAAAAAACCAAAGCCCTGCAATATGTTTGGGCCATTTTCTTTTTGGGGTTGGCTTTTGTTTGAGGTTGGCTGACATTGGGGGAGGTTCTCCCCCCCGAAACAAGTCCTCCTGTGGTGATTTTTGTTTGGTTTCCGCAGATTGGTGGAACCTGCATGGAACCAGCCGAGAGCCTCTGAAGTCTCTGCCGAAAGCTTCTCGGGGTTCGGCTGCCTTCGGGTTTTCGTTCGCCTTTTTTCTTGCTGGTGCGGTAGGCAGGGAATGAGTTGAAATGACCCCTACAAACCATCCCCGATTTGGTTCATTCCATTTCTCATTCCCTGCCCATCACACCAGCATGTTGTTTTTGCTGAGGTTGGGCTATCTTTTTGCCACAGACTGTCAGTGAGTAGAGGACCACCGGGCCCGCTTTTGGGGCCCCCGAATCTTTGCTTCCGGCGGCCGTTGGGAAGCGCCAGCGGACCGACCGGACCAGTTTTCACAGACAGGAGCGTTGGGCTCGCACGGAGAAAGACGCGGCGTTTCTCGGGTGGGGAGGGGGCCGGATATTTTTTTGCGGCTAGCCCTTGGGTTTGAAGCCGTCCGCAAGCCGGCGACTTTTGGGCGCGAACGCGTTGAACCCCTTGAGACTCCACACCACTTGATCGAGGGTACTGATTTCTGGGTAGGCATTGCTTCCAGCTCCTCTCAACGATGCTCTCCTGCGCAGATTCGGTCGAACAAGTACCGCGCCCTCTTCACCGGAGTGTTGGCGCCTGAGCATTCTATTCGCTTGCTGGGGCTGGAGCGAGCTGGTTCTCAGAGCCGCCCCCCCCTTTCCCCAGTTTGACGGCCAAGAGGAAACCAAGCAATCCTTGGGTGATCTCAAAATTGGGATTCCCAAAACTGGATTTGTGGGTGCGAAAAAAGACTTGCATATTGCCGGGGGTCAACTGCATGTCCCTTTTAGAGCGCTGGGCTGATTCGGGCTAAGTGTTACATGGAACCCTTGATCAGCTCTGGATCAGGTTGATTGCTTTGAATCCTGTGGGGCCCGGATCTCATCCATGGAGTCGACCATTGGCTGGCCCTGGAGAAACGCCACAAAAAACCCCCAAGTCCTCCACCTTCCAAGTCAATTCCGCGTGCCTGAACACGAGAAACCCCAGCCGAACGAGAGGGTAATCCTGTTGCCTTCTGCTGCTGGACCCCCATAGAAATGCCGGGCATGAAGTTAGTGTCAGGATTTGTCGGGAGGTGCTGACAGTTTCGATGACATCACGAAGCATCACACGTTCCACCTGAATCTACTTGTCCCTCGCAATGACATCAAGCGCAACACAAGGCTTGAACGTAAGGGAACCGTTCGGCGATCAAGGGCTTCTTGTTTTGCGTGAGGCCTAACCAGTTAGTTCCCTCAGTGTCCGAGGTGATCGGATTGTGGCATGCCTCCTTCGCACATTTCCATTTTCTTGCTGGTGTGGTAGGCAGGGAATGAGTTGGAATGACCCCTATACACCATCCTATGGTTTCCCTGTTTCGGGAATCCCAAAACGGTTCATTCCATTTCACATTCCCAGCCTGTCTTAGCAAGTTTTGGCTTCACAGCATACCTCTCCCTGCCTCGGTGCCGAGGCAAGGCATCGACTTTGATGTGCCCATAGGCCTCGCGAACTTGGTATCTCATCGCCGATCGCGCCCGCGTGTGTTCCTTTGTGGGAATGAATCTCTTTTTGAGGGCACCAACGGTTTTTGCCGCTCTTCGGAAGTGTCTAAAAGGACCATAAATCAGAAGACCTTTGTTTTCGGCGGGAGGGGGGGGGGTTGGGTGTCAATATCCATCGGACCGTTTTTGTTATTTTGGAGAAAGGGGTTCTTAGAAAACTCTCTCCCCGGACAATTCTCCCGGATTTGCTCTTCCAGGGCGCGGGCAGACGATGCTCTTCCAGGGCTCTGACCCGGAGAGAGACCGCCAGTCGTTGTGGCCCGGAACCTCAACGTGGCGCTTTTCGTTTGCGCGCGCGTGTTCGTTTTTTTTTTTGCCCAGGCTGTGGGGGGAAGAAACCGTGTTTGCTCTATTGCTCTGTTTTGTCAGGTGGGTTGGGTTCGATAGTTTGGGATGGGGTTGCAGCTTGCGGTTCAGGCCGGACCTGCTCAGCTCCAAGCCGGTGGTGGGCAAGGAGCGCCCCTTCGTCAATGCCCGGTGCCCGGGAGTGCGGTGCAAGGGGGGCCAAGGGGCCCCTCCGGTGTTGTCTGTTCTGTTTTTTTTGGGCTACGTTTGGGCATTTTCTCCGAAGTTGTTTGGTCACTTTCAAATGAGCTTCGTTTTTGTTTGTTCCCTTTGTTTTTTTCCGCTCGATGGTCCTGGGGGACTCTGGGGTGCGTGGCAGACTGTCAAAACCAGAAGACCATTCCAGTTGGTTGGTTTCCTGGGTTTTTTTTTTCAGAACATCCCAGGAAACAGTGCCCAGATTTCACCATCTTCCTTTTGGATCTCCCGTTAAAGGATTTGATTTTCTGCTGGGGTGGGCAAACGCTTGGAAATCGCACATGCCGCTCATAGGAAGGGTCTGCGTTTGGTGTCAAACAGATTTTGTCTCGACGGAGTCCTGAGGTTTGTGTCTGCAGAGATCTGGACGAGGCAGAAGCGTTGAAGAAGGAGCTGGAGGCGCTTTCCGGGTGTCCTTGATATTCGGCCCATGCGCTTAGACTGTTAGAGTTCCAAAGGATGTTGAGACTTTTGGCAAGGGATCAAGGAGCTAAGATTAGGAAGCAAGCGCGCATGGCCGCTGGCCAGAGACGGTGGGAAAGCGCTCGGGCCAACCTGCCCATTGCCTGAGGGCGCCCATTCACACCCTCAAAGGCCCGAGGCAAGCAAACGCCAAAAGAAGAGTCCGTTCCCAGGATATCCATCCATCCATTCATCCATCGATCTATCCATGTATCCATGAATCCATTCCATCGATTTATCCATCCCTTTTCTTGAATTGGTGTTTTTTGGGCTTCCCTTTGTGCAGAATCTGCAAGTTGGCCGGGAGCCCCCCTCCCCCCCTCCAGCTGTTCCGACTGAATGCGGCCCATCCGGTCCACGCAGGCACGGGGCTGCTGGGAGAACTGCACCCTCATCGTGCCCGGGGCCCGGGCGCGGAGTGAGGTTTTCCCGGGGTTTGGTGTGGGCCGTAGGGAGTGGTTCTCTTTTTTGGGGGGGAGAAGCCGACTCGATGGAAGATGGGTGGCCGCGTCAAGGATGGAAAGCAAAAGGCAGTACCGATCAAAGGACTTGACGTTGGCACACGTCAGGTTGAGAGGAATCCGAATCCCGTTTTCACCATCAAAAAGCTGACAAAGAGAGTTGCCCCTGTGCTTCTCTTTGGTGCAATGACACGCGTCGACCAGAAGCCTTGATCCCGGGACAGGGTGTTTCAACTCGCCAGCCAAGGGTCTCAGGTGCTTGCAAGGGTTGGCTTCAAGAGGTGCGACAGTCGACAGTCGACAGCTATGGGTGTCTCCAAAATCAGGGCACCCCGGAAAAGCTTCTGGTTTCCTGTGTTGAATCCCTTTTAGACCGACCCAATTCAGACACCGGTTGCCGTCGCGGAGGTCATCCAGTCAAATAGCGCAAGTCCATCAAAAGGACTTGCGGGAATCCTTCTTTGTGAGCCCCCAGTCAGCGTCTCCTGGTTCGCAGCCTGAACACACATGGGTTGAATTCTCACACTGTTTGCTGGTCTCTTGCGACAAGTTGGGGAGATGCTAGGTGGGCTATGGCAGTATGGCGTACCTCATCTCTAAACAAATTTGGAATTTGCGCCTTCAAACCGGAAAATTCACCCCGAGTTGTTCGATTTGTTTGCAGGTCAGCCGCCGATTTTGGTCGGAGATGCGCCCAGGCCCATCTCCAATGACCCGGCGTCCAGGCCTGCGAATTCTCGGCAATTGCCGGTGCCCTGGGCTCTCCGATTGGCTTGGAACCTTTTGGGGAAAACGGGGGGGAAGGTTCGGAAGGCCTTGGTTTTGGATGGCAGGTTTTTGAGGGCTGTTTTGGATGGCAGGAGCTCATCTCATTTGTCTTCTTGACCTGAGACAAGTATCACTCCAAAAGCATTGAGATAGTCGGATCCTTGAGAGCCAGCTCAAATGGCCCATGCAACACGACATCTCATGAAGGGGGCTGATTGTTTCACTGGTTCACACTTGGTTAGTGCGTCCAGTGGATATGCTTCACGCTTCGGCTCTTTGCTTACGGTTCTTGTCTGCCATGGAAGGGGAGCTTGCCGCGGCTATTGTTTCCTAGTTTTTTTAGCGGAGGGGTGCTCGGACAACGTGGTTCATTCACAGAACAATGCAGCACCTCGTCAGGAAGGTCATCAATGGTAGCGAACCCTGTTTAGGCTTCTCCTGAATCTCTCACGAGCGTGAAGGCGTTGCTCCCTCCCACGGATGCCAATTTGGCCGCCCCTTTCCGAAGACGGACACCTTTCGGAAAACCGCCGTGTTTGTGGAAAGCGCCTTCATTGTCTTCTGGGGTATGGCGCACATCTTACATGGGTTGGAAAAACAACTCCTGCAAGTGGGCTCCGAGTCTCCGAGTGTTCTTCTTTTGACCGCCGCTTCCCGGCTCCCAAAGAGGGTCTTCTGGCGTGGTTTTCTCAAGGCCCTAGGTTCCAACGGGTGTCGGCTGAGCTGTTTGGTGTTTCTTGTTTGCAGAGCTTTGAAATTTCACTGCTTTTAGGTTTGGGTGGGGCTCGTTTCTTGAGAGGGGTAGCAACTTGAACTGAGGGAAGCTAGACTCGGAAAGCCTTGTCATTGGTCAGTGTCACCCCTAACTTGCGGTGTCCTGAATGGGAAACCACCCCCAAACCTCCAAACCACCATTCGCGCTGAATTGTGCGGTTTAGGTGTCGTGTTTTTGGAGGGAAGCAACTTGGCTTGGTTCACAGGAAGCCGAAAAGGAAGCGTTGCCTTTTCGAGGGCTTCCCATTTCGACGACTTCTCGGGGCTCCGATAGGATGATCGCGGTGAACGCCGCCATGGCGCTGGGTGAGCACTTTGAGGAGGAGGCGCCTTGGCGCGCGCCATCCGGGCCGCCGCCAAGCGGTTTTTCTGGGGCTGGATGCTTCTCCCTTGCACCCACCACCTTTCTTTTTTTTGCCGGGGGGGGGGGGGGGGAAGGACTTTGATCATGGTGAAATCGAGGGGCCAGTGAAGGTGGTTGCATTTTGAGAGATCCTCGAAAAGCTTCGCCCAGCCTTCTTGTACCAAGGCCGTGCATTGGGTTGAATCCACATCCAGTCCTATAAGTCTTCTGGATGTGGCCCAAGCCTCAACTTGCTGCACTTTGTCAAGGCACTTCCCTCACGCCTCCGCGTTTTTGTTGTTTTTGTTTGGCGACAATTGTTGGCACCGCTCAATGCCTGCAGTGATTGGAGCTCGGCTCGTCGCCAAGAAGGTCCCTTGCTCGAGGCGAGTTGAAAGTAAGCGATGCGGATGTACTGGGAAACCGATCGCAGAATGGTGGTGTAGGTGTTGGTGTTGCTCTTGGCGGCCGCAAGCATGACGCAGATTTGCGGATGTCTGAGATTGTCCGAGGGAAGTGGATGCTGATGCTCGATCATTAAAACTTAGGCCTTGTGATAGGCAGCTGATGTTGCGGCAGGGCGGGTTGCCAGGATGGGGAGGCGGTGGTGCTGTGCGACTTGGAGGCCCACCACGACGCCGGGGCCTAAGCGTTGCACTGTTTGGGCGGGTTTGGGCAGTTGGGTTGGGGTGGCTAGGTTGGGTTGGCACATTGGGGAGAGAGGGGGCGGAAGTTTGGGGGTTTGGGGGTTTGGGGGTTTGGGGGTTTGGGCGATTACGGTTGGCAGGGTTGGGGTTGATGGGTTTGGCGGTTTGGCGGGGTTGGCGGGCAAGAATGCCCCCTCAACTTCCAGAATTGGGGTTGCGGGTTGGGGGGTTGGGGTTGGGGGGGTTCAGCTCGTCGGGAAACCAAGAGCAACCCGCAAAAGAGTCCTGGGCAAGGCCAACATTCGCGGCCACAGTTTGGGCGAATGTTGGGGTGGAGGAGTTCGGATCTCGGATCTCTCGGCTCTTGCGATGGACGCTCGCTGAGCCAGCGCACGGGCCCACCCAAGAGATCCCCCACCTCATCGCGTTCTCCGCTCGAAGCACGCGAGCCAGAGGCTCTTGCCGTTTTCAGAAGCTTTGCTGCTCAGGGCCCGGCGAACCGCAGCGACAGTCAGCCGTTTTCTAGCGGTAAAAGATCTGGCATGGACAGTCTGTGTTTCCATGGCTCGTAAATAAGAAGTTTAGGGCTTTGTAAGACTGCCTTCCGACCTCGAGCGCGCGGGTGGCCGCCTCAACTCACGCCGCACTTTGAGTCAGGGCGGGCAAGGCTTTGGCCTTTTGTCCTTTTCGACAGAAAAAGGAGTGCTCCCGGAGAAGCACAGCGACGGGTTAATTCTGGGAAGAAACACTGGCGATGGGATTCGTAGCGAGCCAAAAACTGAGAATCCTGAAAATCGAGGGATACTCAAGCAGGAAGGGCTCGGGTCGGCTTCTTGGAGACCAAATCTCAAAAAAGCCCACCTAAATGATATCCAAAGGGTCCCCATGAAAATTCGCACCATGTGCCAAAAGTTTTGGTGGCTCACGTCTTTGTTCTTCACTAGCACCTCGCCATCTCGAGGTGTGGACAGAGCTGGCGGACTTGGCTGGCCAGGAGAAGTTCGTAGCACGGCTCCGATGGCCCGTAGCATGGCTCACCCCCCGACGTCTGAACAGCGCAAGTGGGAGTCCACCCAGAAACCAATTCGGCCCAGTGCTGGTTTGGGCGATGTCCAACGCATTTGCTCCCTTGCAGAGCTGCGCTGTTCACGGTGCGCTGTTTCTGTTGCCAGGAGCGGTCCGCCCGCGGGCTGCTCATGGATCCCAAGGACGAGTCGTTGTGGACCCGTCAATCCCGTTGGGGAATCGGTTGGGAGCCAGTGGGCCACTAGGACACTCAGTTCTGACACTTCTGGGCTTTCTTCTCTGTAAGCCACTTGAGATCAAACAAGTTTGGGACTTGTCAAACGAGCGAGGAAACGTGCACCGCAGGAGGAGAAGTGGATTCAAATGCAGGGCACGGCCCAGCCCTGAGAGACTCGGAGTCAGCCTTTGTTCGAGTCAGTTGTCCAACGTGGCCACCTTGCCTCCCACCAGCGACTCCATGGAAGTGCACAGACCCCTGTAGAACGACTACTCTCCTCTTGGAAAGGGCCTTTTTGCACTTCCATGTTGGTTGGTGGGAGGGCAGCCTCTCGGGGTAAGCCCGGAAAAGCAAACGGTTTCCTGGGGCCTTTGGGCAGGTGAACAACCTTGCCTTTCCGTAGCTTGGAGAATCGACCCCCTGGGGATCCCAATCCGCGAAGGTCATCCGTGAGTCCATCGGCGAGCGGCGGAAGTTTTGGTTCCGCCTCACCAACCGCGCCATCAACGAGGCGAATTGCGTTGCTCTTCTCCGCGAGGTCAGAAGATGATCATGGCATGGCCACATTTTTGGACGCCTCGTGAACCACCTTAGAAACGAGATACCCAAAGGGCCCCCAACTTTCTCAACCCCATGGCAATGCGTTGAAGCTCGAACCTGGTGGATGATGCTCAAAAAGAAACATTTGAGTGACCTGATGCGTGTCTACTGCGCTGCACGCGTGTCGGTTATTGCAGCCAGTGGGGGGACTGTTTGTGTGTGTGTGTGTAAATATTTGGGTTTCCTCACAGACCGCGTATGCCATGAAACGTCCTCCCCCCCTTTTTTTGCAGGTCGGATATTTTTGCTGGCTGAGCAACTCCCAACTCCCTGGCACGGCGCTGGCTCCGTCAGGTGGACAAAGGCTCGGTGACCTTGCTGGGCTGGCTCTGGGAGCAGGATGGCAGCCTTCAGTACCGGAAGCGCCAGGCGGCCATCGGTTCGGGGCGGTCTAGAGCGGTTTGCTCGACGGTTGAGAGTTGACGAAGCCCCTTGTTGAGGCGCTGAGACAGTGCTGGGATCATGGTGGTTTTGGGGGTTCATCATGATTGCACAGAATGAACCGTTCCAGATGCATTCCCCGCGTTTTTCTTTTGAATTCAGCATTCGCGTCTTAGTGACACGGAGCCAATCGACGAGGCTGGCGAGTTGCAGCCTTGGAATGAATCGCTTCGAGATGCTTTGCATGGGTAGGAGCGGGTTTGACCACGCAGGTGACATGAACTGGGGTCTCCGATCTCAACCCTTGTTTTGGATTAACCTGAATCTGAAGCAGAATCGGAAAATGTGATTTTTGTCGTATCCCGCGGTTGGGCCGAGCAAGTACAAGAGTCGTCCATTCAAACTGGTGTCGCTGGCTCAGATGTACGAGCAGAAGTTCGAGAAGATCGAACGGATCTCGCGGATCTCCGACGAGATCCGCAGCTCAAATCAATCGGATGGGTGGAACTTTCGTGGGTTAGTTCCCTCTGGAGTGGGCGGCCGGCCGGGCGGGGGGGGGGGGAACAAAAGCACCAGTGATGGTGCCTACGCGGCCATCAAACCGCATGACATGGGTAATCTACGTGTTGGCTTCTTTGGGTTGCCGAGAGGGTTTCCTTTGAAGGATTTTCCTTGAAGGAAAGGGTGTCTCATTCTTCCATATAGACAAGCGAGGAAAGGAAGCCATCGTGTGAGCAGAGGCAACAACATAGCAACAGGGCCAAGGCATCGAACGAGAGCCCACCAACTTTTCCGGCGTCTCGGTCGCTGGATTGGTTTGCATGATGTCGTGGAAGGGGATACCATGGCCTTCGAGTCCTTTTGGGCCCCAATCTCTCGTCTCTTGCCTGCGCTTCTGTTAGGCCAGAAGCTGATGGACAAAGTCAAGGCGGGGAGTGCAGAGTCCGATGAATCCACGAGGACGGCTTGTTTCTCATACGTTTCTTCTAGATGCCCCGCTTCAGACCCCCCTTTGCTGGGTGATTCCAGTAGCTAAGCGCAAGATTGCATGGTTCAACGTTTTTTCAACATTCGGCAAGAGGGGTCGACCCTAGCTGAAGACACACTTCTTGTGTTTTGGGTCCCAGGCCCCAGGCTCTTGCGAGCGAAGGCAGATGCTGCAGCGGACGGCATCTCCTTTGAGTGCGGGTGCTCGGGAATTTGATGCATTCCGCGGGTTGGGCGCGGGCGGTGTTTGGCGGGCTGAGCTGTGGGCTGAATGGGTCACTTTGAACATGGGCGTGTCTCTTCTGTGTTCTTCAGGGTACCCCTTTGGTGGTTGCTTGAAAGGGAAACCGGGGAAAAAAAAAACTTTGTTGGGTTCCCCTATTTTGAGACAAGCCCACGTTTAGATTCCACCGGTTTCAGTGGATCTAATCGTTTTACCGGTTTTACCAGCTCGCCCGAGGTCCGAGCTGGACGAGTCCCTGCTGAAGCCTAACCCCAACATCCCCGGCGTGCCCAACTGGGAGATCGAGGAGTCGCAGCTGGACGTTTCCGGGATGTCACAGGTTGATTGGTTGATTCGATGACTGCTTGATTCTCCAGCTCTTCACCCCCGCCCCATCCTCCTCTTCGTAAAACATTCAAGGTTTGCAGGCATGTTCTATAAGTGGCGCACCTTTGCAGATGGACAGGGGATCTCAGGAGAAATTGGAAGGGCGCGTCAAAATAGAATCTCTGCTCTTTGCAGAACTGAGATTGGCCAACACATGCCCCAAATGGAGGACGCTTTCTCCAACACGTCGCGCCAAAAAATCGAACATCACCCAGTCTGAAGTGGAGCTGAAGCTGCAGTGAGAGGGTAGGTGTAGAGACGACTGAAAAGCTGTCCTCACGACTTCTTTGGCAATACCTCGAGATACCCTTCCTATACCTCGACAAGATTCCTTTCCTATTATACCTTTGAAAGACTCCTTTCCTATAAAAGACCCTTTTCCTATAATATATTGAAAAGACTATTTTCCTTGAAAAGACCCTTTGCACAAGACTTGTTTCCTTGAAAAGACCCTTTTCCTTCCAGGCGGATGTGACCCAAATTTGGGCATCAAAGTCTTCCGGTTTTGTGGTTTCTTGCTGGCCGCATTGGGAGGGAGCGGCTTCCCAAAGCCGAAGTTCGAACACCAGGAGCTGAAGTCCATCTCGGATGGCCACATCATCTTGCGGCCTGGCTCGCCCGATGGTCAGCCATTCTCCAGGTGGTTTGGTTAAGGAAGAACCCCCCATGAAGCCTCTAAGCCAGGGGGTTCAAAGTAAAGCCAAACCAATCCAAACCAGTTGGAGGGAAGCCGGGGGTCGCTATGTTAGGGTTTCGTGGGCCCTTGTCGAGGGAATCTTCAAGGGTCGATACCCGAGCAGCTGAGAACACCCGATTCTGGTTGCCCGTTGCCCCCACCATGGCCCTTTCGGATCTTCAAATCCAGAAGGCTCTCAATTCCACACAGTTTTCCCGAAAGGAGTGCTTCGAAATTCCCCTCCCTTGCAGGTTAAGGTGGTTTGTGGTTTGTGTCCCTTTGGGTTCCCTTTCAAACCAACCCAAAAAGGGTAGCCTCAAAACACCGCACCCCAGCTGCCAGTGTGGAGTGATTGCAACCCGACGTACGCCCCAGAGGATCAGCCGAAGCCTTGTACAGGTAGCGCCCCTACCAACGGTTTTTGCGACCAAAGCTTCATGCCTGGTTTTTGACAGTTGACCGGCTTGTGGATTCTTATTCAGGCGGGATGTGTCAAGCCTCACCTGGCCAATTTCAAAGGGGTCCAACGGTCCAACTGGTGGAGTGATGCACTTCACTCTCTTCGCCAACTTCAGGCAAGACAACAGGGAGCCAACCTGCATTGGTATCACAAGGGGTTGTCGAGCCATGGCAGGGGACGTATGGCCTCCCTTTTGTTCGAGAACCTGTTGATCAATCAACCCTTCTGTGCCTAAACTGTGTTCGCCAGCTTCGGATTTCTTTGTGGGGTGATAGGGAAGTCATGGGACTGGCAGCTTGGTGCGGACGAGGCGGCCTCCGGCGGACGAGGTCTGGGAATGGCGTCCGGGCCCAGGTCCCTCTCCGGAACGGCGTCCCTTCCTATCCAAACGTGGGCACCGCACAACAGGAGCCCCCCCTTCGGAAGTTTGCGGCGGATTCCATGTTAGAGCGTGGTTGCTTGGAGCCGTCCAAGTGGTGCAGACTTTCTTGGGCCAATTCAATCAGGAAACAAGCATCGGGATCGTGGCTGGCTGGCTGCTCGGGAGCTGCTTCATGTTGCAAGATGTCCCAAGCCCAAGAGGTCCTGCTGTTTGGACTGGGGCCGCTACGCAACAGATTTCTGCCAGGAAGGGTGCGTGAAATTTGCATCCTCTCCTGTCAGGCCTCGCGCGGCTCACCTTGGTTGCTTTCCTGTGGCTTCCTCTTGATTTCCGATTCGTGGACTTTTGGCTTCTTCTTCTTTCTTGTTGGTGCCTTGCTGTTTCCTTGTGGCCCTTCTGGCGATTCTGTGTTCTTGCTATCGCCTGGTGTCTTCCTTATACGTCCTCATCCCATTCCGCCGAGTGGGGGCCTTGCCCAGGCGTGGATCCGTACAGGTCCTTGCCGCGGCTGGGCACTGCCGGGCGCCCGAGCCGCCGATCCCATTGGAATGGGTTGGGTTTTTTTTGTGGTTTGTTGGTGGTCTTGGCGTGGGTTTGGTGGGTGTTCTGGAGCCATGTAGGAAAAGACGGCCAACCACGGGCAGTCCGGATGCTACCTTAAGTCGTAAATATTCCCACAAAATCGCCTTGCCACAGACTGAAACACCTCCGGTCACCGGCTGCGCAACTCCACATGAGAGCCCTTCAAGTCCCCATATCTCAGCGGTAAACAGACTTGCGCCAACCTGCGCTTTGTCGCGAAAGGCCTTCGGCTCACCGACCACGGCTATATGTTTTTTGCAGCAGTCCCGGGGTTGCTTCGAACATGGACCCCTGATCACTCTCCTGAACAAGAACCAAGGTACAGCAAACAACAGCCCAACAACAGGCAACACAATCAGAGACAACAGCAAAAGAGACAACAACACACCATCCTTCCTCCGAGGACGCCCTGCATCCGGCGCTGATCTCCTGCGATGCGCTGGGGGCTCGCGGAGGCTGCCTTTCGCGTAGCCTGCAAGTTAACCTGAAACCAACAATAACCATCCGAAAGGCAAAAGGAGACTCCTCTAAGCAGGTTGTGATTTGTTCTGGGGTCGTTATTTTGACGGTTTCTGAGGGTTATCAAGGTCAGGAAATAGCGTTTTGTTCCCTTCAACCCACCACTTAGGGGGTGACTTTGATCATGGTAAAATAATGAAGCCAGTTGTTGGGTGCCATGTTAATCAAAGTAGTATTGGCGGCAGCCGGTGAAAAAGCATGGTTGGTTTCCGTCGAAGCGTGCTGAGTTCCCTGATGTTTTAGCTTGTACATTTGTCTGACCCCCGTGGTCTCTCTTGCAGTCGACTCATCCGCAGTCGGTCCCCCCCCCCCTTTCTGCGACATCGGGGGGCTCGCACAGCTCGCAGGGCGGTGTTTGGGCGGCTGAGGCCCAAGCTTCGCCTGAAGATGATGCAGGCCAACGACAGGCGGGGCCGATGGCTCCCTTCACAACTTCACCCAGACTTGCTTCATAGCCTGAAAATGGTTGGTGTCCAGTTGCGTACAGACACAATCCTAGCTGCTAGTCCTTCCAAGTGCATGGAGGGCTGCCAGCTAATCTGGGGCCCGGGGGCACAGCAAGCAAGATTGCGAAGCACTGCTTGTGCTGCTGCTATAAAGGGAATGATATGGCATTCCACGTTCACCGGTCACTCACATATGTGGGGGACGGGAAATCGGTTTAGGTCTTCAACTGCTGACGCAATAGTGAAGCTTCAAGTATGACCGGGTATATTGAGGTTGTGTCCAACAGGTTAATTTGTTGATGACAATGTGCCCGTGTTTTTTTTTTTTTCATTTGCCTTTGTGTGCAGATCTTAAGTTCACGATGATGTTGTTATCTTGCTCACAATCCTTGGAGCATCATGTCAGAGTTTCCTACATGAGTTGCAGAAGGCGTGACGCCACGAGAAATTGGGGCTTTGTTCTTTTTACACTAGCCAGTCATCCAAGCACCTGTTACGCTCCAAGGTTTGATGGTGAAATTGGAAAGGGTTTCTGGCATTGACTTTGAGGAAGCGCCTTTCAATCTCAGCGGGCTGGTGGCGTAGAGCTGCTCGACAGATTGCGTTCAGTGGAGAATAGCAGGCGTGTTCCAATCGCCAACACAGACCTCGTTGCCGCTGTTTTGCGCAGTGTGAACCAGCGTTTTCCGATGTAGCCTGCAAAAGGGGTCGAACTTCAGACCCTCACTTGACCAATCCCTGGGCACAGGGCCAACCTGCTGCACGACACGCCGCTTGGCTTGCTGGGGGGTTGGCCCCAGCCCAAAGCACCAACGGTTGGCGATGTCAGGAATCTTCTTTCGGATCCGTGTCAAAAGGCCGCGGCCATGTCCACGAGGGGATTCTTCGAGGGAGGTTGGATTCGACTCTTGGGATGTTGTTGAGGAGCAATAGCCCGCTCTTGCGAATCAACAATGGAAAATTCCCAAATATAGGCTTTACCCTCCCATCCACTGACATGGAACCCAAGCGATTCCCTTTGTCCCAGGCTAAGTGGGGGATATAACTCATAAGACCAGAAACCCGGTATTCCATTGTAGCCTGTTTTTGGGCGACCCACGAAGATTCCTTTCTCTGTCAAACTGGTTGCTGTGTACCCAAGACCCCATCAAGCCTGCAAGCGCTCTGATGTGTTGAGGCTCTTGGCAAGGAGCCATCCCTGTCCGGGGTGTAGGGAAACCGAGAGCAAAGTTACCGGCCCTGCGCAGAGCCCGCATGGCCCAATGCCGAGGATCGGAGCGCACTGGCCTCAGTCGGGCGGCATGTCCGAGAGCACGCGACCTGAACTGCGGTTGGAGCAAACCCTGCGGTGGATTGAACAACGGGTCGCTGTACCGCTGTACCCCCCTGTTTTACACATCAAAGACAGCATCGCCGCGGTTATTTTGAACCATACCCTCCTTTTGGCCATGAGAAACCTTCTGCCGCCCGAAACGGTTGGACAGGGCACAGACCCTGGACGACAAGCCCGGGGTGGAGTTGCGCTTCATTGTGACTCGGCGGCGATTGGCGTTGAGGGGAAACAACGCGCCTTTGAGTGTGTTGTTGTTTAGGGAACCCCTGCTTGCTTGGTTGGTTTCAAAGGGAGTCCAAAAGGAATCCCACCATTTTGGGAGGTCCCCTAAAAAGAGACAAAGCCACATGGAGGGTTTGCAACCTTTGACACTTTGCATGTCTGAGAACCGTGTTTCGCAGCAAAAAGGGCTTGCACGCTCTTTGGGGCTCCCTTGTTGGTCCACTGGGCAGAAAAATGGCCAGCCCTCTCGGCTCTGGCTGGCGCTTCCGGGGCTAGCGGTTGAGCCACGGTCATGGCGCGTGCGGTTGAGCCGTTGAGGAGCTGCTGCTGCACCAGCGCGCCGGCGAGCCGGGGCCCAAAGGATTCCAGGTGCACCCTGGCATCTAAGGAACCTGTAGGACATTTTAGAGGAAGAATAGTGTTTCGTCTAAGAAACTGACAGGACATGATAGAAATTGTAGAGGAAAACTCGTTTCATGTGAGGAACCTGCAGGGCCTGTTTAGAGAAATCGCTTGGCTTTGCTGGGCGCTTGGCCCATTTCCGACAGAATGTCCTTGTGGTGTTTTGTTTATGATACCCGAAGTTTCGGAACATGCGGGCCAACATGAAGAAGCAAAGACATGTTGGCATGCAAGAAATGGTCTGTTGCCGAAGAGTGCTCATCAATGCTTGAATGCATTCTGGCAGCATGCAACAGATTGCCGACTCCAGCAGGCCAGAAGAGTTGTGCGATGGCCGTGGCGAGGGACAGGATAGGGCTTGTGACTCATCGCATACTGAAAGCTCGGAGTAGCAACGGCTCTTTGGCCGAAGCCAACCGCCCGCTGTTGGCGGTGGCAAGTCACACGTGGCTTCGAGGTTGAAGCTTGCTGAAGTAGAACCCGTCGTTACAACTTTAGAATAAGACTGAACTTCAACGGGGCAGCCTGACATTCATGTCGTGGCACAAACCGGCATTGGTACCCTGGCAATATACGGGGATCGGGGTTTAGTCAGGTTTGGGTTCAGTCAGGTTTGCCCTGCGCATTTGTCTTTCTGGCGGTACACGCCTCACCTTTTGGTCACCATTTGAGATGTGCTACTCCCCAAATATCCATTGCCCATTCCTAGTTCTCTTGGTTCTACTTCCTGATTTCGAGGGGGCAGTAAGAGCGAGACAAGCCTTCTAGCCATATTAATGCAGGTAGGACCAGCTGTTCTGGACGTAACCAGATTTTGACTCACGACTCTGCCCAGGCTCTTCTCCATAGATGAGGAGGCCTCAAGTGGAGGGCACTGGCATGGGGGTTGGATCGACCGGGGTCGGTTCAGTGAATTCCACAAGTGAACCACAAAACACTCTGTAAATTGCAAAAACAACCAAAAAAAAGCGGAGCCCTTGTTGTTCTAGATGCAATATTTTGGAGATAGTTCTTGTTTGAGAATGGACCGCCAAAGCAATGGTGTTGGGTGAATCTTGAGCTGTCCCGGGTTGCCATCAGACACCTGGTTAGAAGGACACTGTTTCACGTATGAGGTTGTCTGCTTTCAGCAATCAGTAGTTGAGCTTGTGTGAACCAGGATCTTGCTTGGACCACGTGCAAGTTACGGGATCAACGCTCATTCCCACTACCCACCCCCTCTTCTCACAATGAGCTGCCAACTAAGCACTTCCAACAGCAGGCTCGGCCTGGGAGTAGTGTAGGTCCGGTCAATGAGCGCGAAGGGCAGTTCTGTGGCTCAATTGAAGGTAGTCCCTGGGCATTTCTCGCTAGTGCCGCATACAGTCCATCAGCATGTCTGGATTCCTCATATTGACTTGGATGGCCTTCCGGGACGCTTGAGCAAAGTATCCCAAAGTCCCGAGGTCTCGGACCCAATGGGAGACGGTTCTTTCGGCTTTTCCGTTCCGGATGGCCGCTTCGTCCCTAGGGGATGCCCAGATGGCTCCATGTCTCCAAAACCCCAAATCAAAGTGTAGAGTGGTTGGGCCCTTGGGGCTTCCAAAGCTCAGGTTACCGTTTTGCCAGACCGATGCCACGGACCTGCGCGATGGGCCTTTCCAGGTCGCGCGCATCGTAGTGGCCTCCGATCCGGACTGCGCCAGGCTCAAAAACGCCCTGGGCGGTGTTAGACCTGTTACTGGTTTTCGAGGTACCCTCCCGAGTAACATGGACTTGACATGGGGGTCCTGGAACACCATGGAAGTCCTCTAAAAGGGACTTCCATGTTACTTGGGAGGGAAACCAAGGGAACCTGACCTAACAAGAGGACAACGGCCAAGGGTTGTTTATGGGAACTGGGATCCACTGGGTTACGAGTTATGTGACGCGTTGCATTGAGGACTTTAGACGCGTCCATTGTGAGGGTTTTGAGTAAACCGACGCGGTTTTTTTTTCACCGACCCTATCCTTGAAGCGCGCAGCGGGCGGCCAAAGACTTTGGTACGAAGCAAGAGTTGCGGCAGTTGGTTTGGCCTATGGTGGCCTTCCAAATCCTCTTGAGATCTCGACGAGATTCCCAACGCTGTACCTTTCAAGAATTGTTACATTTGTTTAACGTTTGGTCTACTCCCTTTGGGGACTTAAATCAACGCCGTTCTCGGACGTGAGCCGATCCTCGCCTTTTCAGCCCCTGTTTCGAGAAAGGACCCAGGGGTTGCCAGTCGATCGGGCCGGATGGGTTCATGGGGCATGCCCAAAGAAGTGCCCAGTCTCCTTTTGGTTTTGAAAACCGATCCCAAGCCTTTGAATCGGAACCCAAGCAGATGATCTGATCCACGGCAACCTTGGGACGTTGAAAAGCATTTCGGGGGTTCATATTTCAGGAAGCCTTGTAAACTAATGGATTGAGAGCTATTGATCAATGGGTCGCACCGCTCTCAACCCAGAGTTTCCAGTGATTGCTGCACCTCGTGAGGGAGCCGTTGCGTTGGGCCATTTGTCAGACTTCAACATGATGTTCACCCTTGGGCTCGCTTGAAATTAGCGGCGGAATGAGCTCAGACCTTCATTCACACCCTTCAGAGAGGCTGGTGGGGGCAGGTTGCGGGAAGCGGAAGACGACGTGCCGGGGGCCTCAACTTTGTTTTGAGGTCAGTTTTTTTGAGGTCAGTTTGTTTCGTGCTTGGGTTGTCATGCCTTCCGGTTTGAGTCTCGTGGGACGTGCAGCGGTGCATCTCACTTGCTCCAGGATTTCAGCCCAGGTCTAGACGGTATCTTGTCAAAAGCAACCACTGCACAAACACTTCCATGACTTCGACTCCTTCTTCTCCTTCTTCCTCTTCTTTTTCTTTTTCTTCTTTTGGTTTATTCCCTTTGTTGGTGCTGTGGAAGAGTTCAAGAGGACCTGACTGTTTATGGGGATCAGATCAGCCATTCTGTCAAGTTTGACACGTCTTAAAACTGAGCTCTCATGTGGGGATCCATTGAGTACATTTTGACATTTTGGAGGGGGCTCGCATCAACCAATTTGCGACATGCCTCAAAGAGAGTGTCGACGCCCAAACCATTGTGGGGAAATGTGGTTTGCCACCTGTTTGGTTCTATACTCCGTGTTACCTTGCGTCCTTGTCCAACAAGAAGAGGTACCTTGGGGGTGCCCTTGTCCAACAATCAGGGAAGAGGACAAGGGTCTTTTTCAGGAGGATGGTGGTTTTCAGAGCCTCGCCTCCTCCATGTTTTTTTCTATCAAGGGAACTTCCTTTGAGGCTTTCAAGCGTAGTCACGGGGATGGGAATCCTACTTTGGTATCACAGAAAGCTTGAGCTTCCGCAACTATGCCCAAACATTTCCATGTATGGAATAGTTGCCCACACCTACCCTGCAAATGGGTCAAATGTTGGTATATGAATATGATACTACATTACATGATATTTTATATTATATTATATGCATACATTGTAATTGTATCGTATTATAGAATATTATACCACATGTGTTTGCTTGTTTCGCCATTCTATTGTTGTGCATGTCATGATATGTCATGAATGTCATCATGTTATATTATATTGCGACCCACATGGAGAGCGCAATCGAGCGAACGCGCAGGCGAGGGAGGGAGATGCTCAGCAGCTTGGCGAAGGCCGAATTCTTCGTCGGGCGAAGCGGATCGGTGGTGATCTTTGCCTGGCGCGGGTCTTCTGGCGTCCTCGCGTGTTTTTGTGCAAGGTGTTCTTTTTTTTTAGGTGTTTGCTCGTGCTTTCTCCTGTTTTCTTGTCTTCTTGTGTGGTTGTTTTTTTTTGCGTGCGTGTGGTTCTTGCTTTCGCGTTTTGGTTGCGTGTGTGCTGTTCCTTTGTTGAGGTTGTTCGTAGGGGATCCTTTTGCGGCTCCTTGAAAGGGGTCCAAAGGATGACTTCGACAGCTGGCAACTGGGGTTGAGCAGCTGTTCGTTGGCTTCCAGGGATTTCGGAGCAAGTTGTCGGTAGCTAAGGGTGGCGGGTTGCTGATGGACACCAGGCCACGGACAGGAGTGGGACAACCTGAGATAGACAAAAGTCAGAGGGGTGCGTGGCTGAGTGGGTGCGTGCTTTGCCTGCCTGCCTGCTTGCCTGCCTGCCTGGGTGGGTGGGTGGGTGCGTGGGTGGGTGGGTGCGTGGGTGCGTGGGTGGGTGGGTGGGTGGGTGGGTGGGTGGGTGGGTGGGTGTGACCGTGCGAATGTGTGAATGTGTGAATGTGTGACTGTGTGTGTGGATTGAATGGGTGTGAATCTGTGAATCTGATGAATGTGTGTATGAGCAATCAGAGCAGCCGGCTGAGGCGCAGCACAACAGACTGCTTTTCGCAGGTCAGCCTTGAGCCAAGCAGCCAAGCAATCGAGCCCGAGCAGCCGAGCAGCCAGAGGGCCGCCAGCGAGTAACGGAGACCTGCCAGAACCCAGGAACCCGCACGGAGCAGCCAATCATGGAGAGGCAAAGAAAACTTGGGAAGAGGTTGACGTCCATACCAGGTCGCTTGAAATTAGGAAAGGGGTTAATAGAGTGGGGCACTTGGGCGGTGAAAGAATTGGGGACCAAAGCCTTGCGCAGCTAAGCCCAATCCAGGCTCCCCCATTATATTGTGAGGCTTGGCCGCCGTCTCTACTTGGAAGACTCGCCCTGCACAGTTAAACTTCCACGCTGTGTGTTTCCCGCTTCTCAGACTGTTCGGGGTTGGTGGCAGATTTGGTTGGAGAGTGTGGCGGGTGGTGGTTGGTGGAGAGGTTTGGAAAAGGGTTCGGGTGGGGGGGGTTGTTGGTGGGCTTGAAGCTCACGCTTCTTACGCGCGTGGAAGCGTGGTTGCAGCGGAGCCGACAAACGCGCGGTCGCAAGCCTCAACCGAGTGGGTTCCCGGCTCTCCCCCTCCCCCCCGGCCAAATGGTTATTGTCTCGAAGCCAACAGCTCGCCAAGCCCTTGACATCGCCAGGAAATGCTCGGCAGCGAAGCTGGCGCCAAGGCTCTCGCCGGCGCCTCGGAGCGCGGAGAGCCTCGGAGCAGGTCCAGCGTCCTTTCGTCGGATTCGCCGATTTGGCTTCAAGGAATCGCAAACCGGGGCTCCTCGATGTTCAAGGCTTTGCGGGGTTGAGGGTGGTTTCGAGTTGAGTTCCCTTGCGGGTTCCATAGGTTGCTGTAGGGCTCCCATCTTTTTCTAGCCACCAAAAGCCAAGAGCTAGTCTGTTGAAATTGTCGAAGATTTTCCCACATGAAGGGAGCGGCGGAATGTATGTTTCATAGCAGAGCCTAGATCCAACTGTTGGCTAGATCTCAACATATTGCAGGTTTTTGCAAACATATCGTAGCTGACCCAGTGGGCAATGAACACTTTTCGCGGTGCTGCCCTGCTCCAGTCCTTTCGAGAAGCACCAACATTCGGGGCTTTGTGACGTTGACGGGCCACGGGCTGCCGACATGAGGCGGACATCAAAGATCTCGGTTTCATCACTCCTTCCACCCTGGCCTCGGGCTAAGACGCATGTGCCGCTGCTCGAAGTTCGCACGTTTGAGTTGCAAGGATCTGTATGGCTCACCCAAATCTACGGTGTTTGTTTAATATCATGCCCTGGGATTGCGCCCTGAACTGACCAATTCAATTTGGGTCCACATAGAGGTCTTGTCTGGGACTGACCTATGCGTCAGGATTGAAACTGGCTGATTTGGATGGGGTGGCCCGGGTTGCTGCCACAAGGAAGAACAACTCGTGTTGGAGGGGGGCGCCGAAAAAGTCAGAAGTTCCATCCCGAATCCCGGGCTCCACTTGCCTCGCAGGACCTCTTGGTGCAAGAGGTGGCCACATTCAGATAAGATGGCCGCCTGGCGATGGGTTGACGTGGCGCAGGTTTTCTGTGGGATTCCAATTGACCATTGGGTTCTTCAAAGTGAGAAGGGTGGTCGTGGGGGTTTGGAATCCATCACCTTGGTGTCGCAGACAGCGGGGTTTGGGCTGGGGTTTTGGGGGTTCTCAGGAACTCTCGGATGAACGCTTCCGGTAACTAGGTCATCAAGGCCACCGGGACCGCAAGTCTCAGCCGCGTTTGTGGGAGGCGCCTTCTATTTGTCTGGCTTGCGGAGGCTGGCAAGGCCAAGTGACCCTTAAAAACGACCCACTTGGTGCCGCTCGCCGGGTTTGCTCCGCCCGAATGAGGCCATCTGCCTCAGCGGCCGGATGTTCGAGTGCCCGACGCTCGCACCTCGTGGAAAGAGCCGGATTCGACCAGGTCGACGCGACTCTGAAAGCTGTTTGGAGGATTTCCAAATCGAAGAGACGATCTTCCTTTTGGCATGGGGGAGGGATGACTTTGATGGTAGAATTGCGGGGGAGTGGAAGTCAGACGGATCTCCAGTGCTTCCAGAAGCAGACACAACTCATGGCACTTGGGTTGATTGCTGGGTTTTGACACCACAGCTGCGACTCACACGCCCTTCGTCTCAAATGGAGCTGAATTTGATTAGCTCAAGCAGCAAGACCACCAGCTCGGCATGCTCTTGGTTCTACCTCATCAAAATCAGGCGGATTTTGAGGGACGGTCGCGTTTTCAAAGTCAGATCTTGCAGCGCAAGTAGGTGTGTCAGTGTGTCCATGGGCAGGCTCCGGGAAACCCAAAGTCGGCATGAGCTGGGGTGCCAAGCAAAGCTTTTTTACTTTGACCCAGCCCTTTGGCGGTTGCAAGGAGCACTCAGATGTGTCCGGTCCGCAAGACGCCGATGTAGAAACCTCTCCGAGATGGCGGCGGCCGCGGCCATGGCGACAGGACGTGTGCCGATGCACGCGTCCGGGCGTGTAGGTTCCATGTTTCGACTAAGGGTGGACTTCACCCCACCTGTGGATCCCTTCTTTGGTTCCAGTCCATTCTGGGGAGTTGGCCGCCGTTGTCAGCAAAGGCAAAACTCAGATGCTCAAGTCGAACCCACCTTTGGATCTCAGTAGTGCTGCTCAGATTTGACCCACGCTCAGTCTTGCCAACCAAATGGTCAACCTTTTAGCACTGGTTCCTTGAGGTGTTTGCACTTCTGCCGGCAGGAGCCAAGCAGCCGCGCAGGCGTGGATCGCCGCACCCTTTTTGTGATTCTTGCTTGAAACAACAAGAGAGAAGCTTCAAGATGATCAGTTTAACCGCGAGAAAGGCAAGCTCAGGCAGGGTGAGTCTGAGTAGCGAGTTCTGAGCTATCAAAACGAAATGGAAGACACTGAGAACCGTGGCACCTGTAAGGCCTTTCACTGTTTCGCTCCATTTGGCGGTGAAGCTTACGTATGGAAGCGGGATTCCATGAGGTGCCTTTTTTGGGGAAGGGGAAGTGCAGCGCCGAACAGCCCTTTCAGAATTCCAAGTTTCCTCGGCAGTTGTCAACAATACCTTTGGGGTAATTGCCTCGAAGCAGTTTTGCCAGAGAGTTTGAAGTACGTGGAGTTTGAAGTAGGTGGCCACGCGCTAGCTTGATAGTATGGGGCCCGGATGTTTGGCCCGCAGGCAGCTTCGGCTGGATCTGTTGCGCCATGGCTTGCAATGAGAAGCAAACTGGGGGGGAAGGCTTGCAGACGCGACCGCAAGTGATAGGGCAATAAGGGTGCTTCCTACCAGTCTGAGAGGTTTTCCCACGGGATTTGCCCATGGGTTTCCTGGGAGCATTCCCCCCTGTGGGTTTGAACGGAAGCACGTTCTCAGATTGGAAGGGTATTCCCCCCCCTCCAGACATTCTCATGAAATAAGAAGCAGAAAAAAGAGAGAGAGAGAGAGAGAGAGAGAGAGAGAGAGAGAGAGAAAGAGAGACAGAGAGCGAGAGAGAGAGACAGAGAGAGAGAGAGAGAGAGAGAGAGAGAGCGAGAGAGAGAGAGAGAGAGAGATCAAACCTGCTGCCTTCTGCATGGCAGCTTGAGGGGTATTGCCGATGAATCACAGACACAAGCCAATCTTGGCTAACCTTGCCAGACCTTAGGGAACCTTGCGGGTTGGATGGAAAGCCGAGCGTCTTTTCACCCGAAAGCAGTCTGAAAGGAAGTTCAAAACGTCCTAGCAGTGCAGAGGTGCTCGATCGGCCATCGCGAGGATCGACATGCTCCTGCAGCTGCGAACCTCCAAGCCGGTGGACGGCAAGCGGGGAAGCCAAGAGAGCGCAGAAGGTGCGTGGGGCTCCAGGTGGTTTCCTTTTGGTGTCCCAAGAGTTTCTGCAAAAAGGGTTTCCCCATTTGAGATGGACTCAAACATGTAACTGGAGCGTGCTCGTTTGCTTTCATGGCTGCCAGACTGCAGGTGGTTTCAGAAAATGTGGCAGTCGCAACAGCTTCTTGTAGCCCTCGAAACACGGTGTCAACCAACAAGTGAGTCCCCCTGTTGGATGTTACAGGCTTACGATTTGGACGCCCTCCTGCTTTGGCATCCACAAGGCGTGGTGCTGCAAACCGCCAAAGCCAAGGGCCGTGCCCATGGCAGAGGATGAGCTGTTCCTTCTCATCGAGAAGGCGGGGAAGCTCAACCCGTTTGGTTCGCTTCAAACTCTGCAGACATATCGTCAAACATGGCGGGTGGACATCAACCATGCAACTGATGTCCACCACCGGGTGCCCGACTAGCGTTCATCCCCACGTGTCGCATTTGAGGTCTGTTGCCTTTGCTTCCTGAGTTCTCATGCCTCTCGCTTTCGGAGAGGAAATGAACACTTCTGCAACCAACGAATAATGTGTCTGCACGAATGGGTGTGTCTGTCTTTTGGGGATCCCCTCAATAGCGTAGTTTTCTCTTGTGGTTTTCCTTAACCGCCAACCGATGGGTATCAACTCTAAGCAAGACACCCACATGAGCAAATGAGTGACCTGCAAGCCGCTAGCACCGGTCCCCGGTTCAGAGGCCTTTTCAGTGTATTGCTTTATTTGGGTGTGTCTTTTTTTGAGGGTGTGTTTTTTGGTGGTGTTAAAGGAACGCCAAAAGGATAACCATCAATTTGGGGGGGGTTCCCCTAAAACAGACCCCAATTTCAGACCTCACTTTGGTTAAAGTTACCCGTGTTGTGTTCAGCTTTCTTTGGGGGTGTTGTAAAAAGAAAGACCTTTGGCTACAAAAGCCTCTCAATTAGTCTCTGCAGGAAAATCAAGGGGGGGTCCCTCAGAAGGGTGCAAGGGTTGGGTGGGAAATCTGGCTTCTCCAAACGACGTGGTTTTCCTCCGAATCGAACAGCATTAGTTTTACGACGTCCTAAAGAACATACGAACCATTGCCAATTCTTGCGATCTTTCTGGGGTTTTGTGAGATCCCCATGCGTCCATGTCTTGTGAACTCTATATCCAACCCCAGGGAAGCAGTGTATCTACCCCAGCTATCGAATTACTTTTGGGGTGGTGGGGTTTCCATCCGTTTGAAACCTATGAAAGTTCCTGGAGGCTAAACTCGGAGGTTTCGGATATTTCATGGGTCACGGACCATTCGGTGGGTCCCGATTCATGTCTCGCCATGAGGTGCGGTGCACCTTCGCGGAGCAGCCCATGCTCCTAGAGCTGGACGCGCCCATGAAGGCGCGGGTGAGATGGCCCACAGTGGAGAGCCAGTTGTCAAAACTAAACCGCCAAGAAGCCGCGGGTTTGAGTCTATGTTTCCATTGACCAGGGCAACCCATTTTGGGCGCCTATTTTTGACCCACAGCCACTTGGTGTTCCCTTTGGATTTTTACACACGGGTACAATCACATTGCTTCCACAATGACGAGGTGTTCCCCTTTCACAGGGATACCCAAAGCATGGGGGGGACACCCGACCCCAGTTGGTGTAGAGGAACGCAAATCTGCGGCTTGTGCGGTCCTTTTTGAGCCAGACAAGCGACCAGCGGGTTTGGTTTCCTTCCCCCTTCAAGAAGCCACGGCCATACCTGCTGTGGATACAGCTTCAACAAAGATGTGGATATGTGTGTGTGTGTGTGTTGTTTTGGATTTAAATCCGCACCCACCCAGAACTGGGTGGATAGATGTGACACACATCTAGACCCGCCTATATTTCAGGGACGAGCAAGTGAGCAGGACAGGACAGCTATTCGCAAATGGGAGGTTCCAAGCGCTGGCCAGATACATGGAAGTTGCAAGGGTGTGGACAGCTGCTTTACATTTCCTCCCTGAAAAATCTTGGAGATTAGTGTTGAACATTGCCGCCCATATAACTCCTGAAACGGTTTAAAGCGCATCCGCTTATTCCTGCTTCTTGCAATGGCGCGTTTCAAAAAGCAACAAACATGTCAAAGCTTTAAAGGGACCCACCCGTTCCCGCAGCTTCGACTCCGCGGACTCCTTCACTGGACCCGGGTGTTGGTGCGGGGCGTGCCAGGTGGTGGGTGATGTACATGGTCAGTACTATGACCTGCGCGGGGCTGAACTTGTAAAGCGGCAGGCCGTGAGTCGCGGGCTCGCCCGGTGAATGGAACTTTCTTCAGGAGATCAACTCGCGATGCAAACCAAATGGAAAATCAGTCGCTCGCTTTTCCAGGGGCCGCGTTTTCTGGCCTTGACAGACTCTTCGCATGTTTCAGATGGAGTCCATGAGCCCACTAGCGCGAAAGCTAGCTGCAGTTTCTTCTGCGAAGCGCATGGCCTGAATCCCCATTTGGGTGTGGTTGCCATTTGTCAATGGCCGAACATTGATCAAATCTGTAATTTAGCCCCCCAAATGTTTTTGCAGGTTGTAGGTTCGATTCCCCCCTTTCCCCAAGCGCGCCCGCAGATTCTAGGCTCCTCACCTTGTGGGGGACCTCTGTTCTTTGTGCTCACGTTTTGGGAGGGAGTGCCCGTTGCCTCAGTGCTTTTGGTATGATACGTTGGGCGGGGCCTTTGCAGTAAGCTGTTTCTTGCCTAGTCTTCCAGGGCGCCGGCAAGCTGTGACGAGCTCGGCTGGAGCTAGTAAGTTCTTTGAACCTTCGCTTGGGTTTCCGAACTGCCGGTTTAGATATTTGGCTGTGGGTCAAAACCAACCGTACCATTTTGGGGTAGGTGCACCACCCAGTTTAGTCTATTTTAGTGGGGATTGGGATGTTCACTGGGGGGTACGGGCTTTTGACCCATTGCCATTTCGTAATTTTTCCAGGTTTGGAAGTTGCTTGGTTCCCCTTCGCTCGAGGCTGCGCCTTCTGGAATGTGGCGGTTCGCCCGAGGACAGCCAAGGGCCCAGGCTGATGACTGCATGGCCAAGCGAGAGGTGAGCCCAAGAAAGTGGCCTCCCCGTTTGTTGCCCGGCCCAGAAGTCAGGTCGAGTTTGTATGTTTCTGTGTTCCTATGTTTCTACGTTGCCGTTGCCATTTGTCTATGTTTATGTTCATTCCCAGTGGTTTCCCCTTCGAATGACAAAAACAATAAATGCAAGAGGGGTCCATTCGGGAGGAAAACCGTTTTGTAGGGTCTCATTCAGATTCCATGTGTGTGTTTGTCTGTTGTTGTTCTTTCTTTTCCTTTTTTTTTCTAGAGAGGGTAGGAAACTGTGAATGACCAATGTCCTCATGCAGACCGCACCTGCTGACACTTTCTGGATCGTTTGACCTGGCCGCCGGAGCCGGAATTGCCACGCATTTGCATTGCCAAGGGAACTACCTGTTCCTGGGCGATTACGTCGACAGGCGCAAATGAGACAAATGCGCAGCTAGGCCATGCAGATAGGCAACCGCCCAATCCCATGCAGGGGCAAGAACTCCATCGAGTGTGTTGCACTCCTCTTCGCATTCAAGGCAGGGGCTGATTGAATGAAGGTCCTACCCCCTACAGCGTATCCCACACTATAGATGGTAACCAGGTATTTTTACCTCTAGGTTTCACATGATGGTTTTCCCTGGTTGCCCATCATATCATATTGGCAACCGGAAGCGCTGGGCAAGATAGGCATTCGATGTCTTGCAAGCCCCGCAGGCAAAGTACCCTGAAAACTTCTTCTTGCTCCGAGGCAACCACGAATGTGTGCCTTGGCTGAGGTGAGTCTAGCAATGCCTTGCACGGTTTGCACTGTGGTTGTTGTGTTGTGTCGTGTCGTGTGGTGTGGTGTAGTGTTGTGGGTGTGGTGTGTGCGCGTGTGCGTGTGTGTGTGTGTGCGTGCGCGTGCGCGTGCGGGTGCGTGCGTGCGCGCGCAGGCGTACGGGCGTGCGGGCGTGCGGGCGTGCGTGTCGTGCGTGCGGGCGTGCGGGCGTGCTTGCGTGGGTGGGTGTGTGTGTGTGTGTGGGTGTGTTTCTGTGTGTGTGTTTCTGTGTGTGTTTCTGTGTGTCTCTTGTGTGTGTGTGTGTGCGTGTGTGTGTGTGTGTGTGTGGGTGCGCGTGCGTGTGTGCGTGCGTGCGTGCGTGCGTGCGTGCGTGCGTGCTTGCGTGCGTGCGTGCGTGCGTGCGTGGGTGGGTGGGTGGGTGGGTGGGTGGGTGGGTGTGTCTGTGTCTGTGTCTGTGTCTGTGTCTGTGTCTGTGTCTGTGTGTGTTTGTGTGTGTGTGTGTGTTTGTGTGTGTGTTTTGTGTGTTTGTGTGTGTGTGTGTGTTTGTGTGTGTGTGTTTGTGTTTGTGTGTGTTTGTGTGTTTTTGTGTGTTTTTGTGTGTTTTTGTGTGCGTGTGTGTTTGTGTGTTTGTGTGTTTGTGTGCGTGTGTGTGTGTTTGTGTCTTTGTGTGTTTGTGTGTTTGTGTTTGTGTTTGTTTGTGTGTTTGCGTGTTTGTGTGTTTGTGTGTTTGTGTGTCTGTGTGTCTGTGTTTGTGTCTGTGTTTGTGTGTTTGTGTGTTTGTGTGTTTGTGTGTGTGTTGGTTTGTGTGTTTGTGTGTGTGTGTTTGTGTGTTTGTTTGTGTGTTTGTGTGTTTGTGTGTTTGTGTGTTTGTGTTTGTGTGTGTGTGTGTTTGTTTGTGTGTGCTTGTTTGTGTGTTTGTGTGTTTGTGTGTTTGTGTGTTTGTGTGTTTGTGTGTTGTGTGTCTGTGTTTGTGTGTTTGTGTGTTTGTGTGTTTGTGTGTTTGTGTGTTTGTGTGTTTGTGTGTTTGTGTGTTTGTGTGTTTGTGTGTTTGTGTGTGTTTGTGTGTGTTGTGTGTGTTTGTGTGTTTGTGTGTTTGTGTGTTTGTGTGTTTGTGTGTTTGTGTGTTTGTGTGTTTGTGTGTTTGTGTGTTTGTGTGTTTGTTTGTGTGTTTGTGTGTTGTGTGTGTGTTGTGTGTGTGTGTTTGTTTGTGTGTTTGTGTGTTTGTGTGTTTGTGTGTTTGTGTGTTTGTGTTTGTGTGTGTGTGTGTTTGTTTGTGTGTTTGTGTGTTTGTGTGTTTGTGTGTTTGTGTGTTTGTGTGTTTGTGTGTTTGTGTGTTTGTGTTGTGTTTGTTTGTGTGTTTGTGTGTGTTGTTTGTGTGTGTTTGTGTGTTTGTGTGTGTGTTTGTGTGTTTGTGTTTGTGTGTGTGTGTGTTTGTTTGTGTGTGCTTGTTTGTGTGTTTGTGTGTTTGTGTGTTTGTGTGTTTGTGTGTTTGTGTGTTTGTGTGTTTGTGTGTTTGTGTGTTTGTGTGTTTGTGTGTGTGTGTGTGTGTGTTTGTTTGTGTTTGTGTGTTTGTGTTTGTGTTTGTTTGTGTGTTTGTGTTTGTTTGTGTGTTTGTGTGTTTGTGTGTCTGTGTGTCTGTGTGTGTGTCTGTGTTTGTTTGTGTGTGTTTGTGTGTTTGTGTGTTTGTGTGTGTTTGTTTGTGTGTGTATATCAAGTCTCCTGTTTTGGAGGTACTTATTTGATTGCAAGCTGCGTCCAAAAAGTCACCGGGCGCTCGGCAGAGGCATCCATCAACCGGATCTATGGAATCTTGGCTGCAGCTATCCGTGGGAGGGGAGTTCCAGCTTTTCGGGATCGACAAAAACCCACCGGGGAACAAAAGCATGCCCAACCCACCGGGGCGCCGTTGGCAGTTTTTCAGGCCTTCTGGATCCAGTTGGGCAGCGTCTTTGTTCCTGGAAACAAGGCTTTACAAAAGGGGGACTGCGTAGGCAATTTAGGTCGGGGGCCGTAGGCTCGCGTAGGCATTTCGCGTGCATCATGTTTGTTTGTTATAATTAAACAAAAGAAAAAGTAGGCGCCCGCGTAGGCAAGCCTGGGATGATACATGATAGGTCTGTGTATGTTTTTGAAGCTTTTGTGTTTCGAAGTGGTTGAGGCCACACGGGAGAGTGGCTACATGGCGTCCTCAACAGTAGCTCCATAAGTGGTGGGGTAAAGGGGTTTCTCAATGGGGCCTGGGGGCCCCAAAAAGTAATTTTGAGAACCCCTGCACTTCAAGGGTCTCAGTTTCTGACTCTTCGCGGCTTGGGGGAAACTTGAGTGGACGAGGCTTCTTGGACGAGTGCAAGCGGCGGTACAGCATGAAGCTGTGGAAGAGCTTTGGTGCCGGCCCGGCGCAAGTTGGGCTTTGGAGTCTCAGGCCGGTGAGGTTCCAGCCAAAAAAGGGTTCTGAACATCCCCAAGATGGGAATGGTTTCCTTTGGCTTCCCGTTGAACCCAAGGTCAACTGTACTCTCAACAAAAAGACGCCCCAAATAGGGAACCTGGGTGTGCGGGGGATATGCAAAGATTCTTGGGACCCATTGAGGTTTTATTCAACGAATTGGTTCCGATCGCTTGAGAATCATGGGATCCGCATCCGAAAGGACACTGGTTAGAAAACATGAGTCACAGGCGTAAAAGATGAGGACCCTGGTTTCCGGTGACTTCCTTTTTGGGTTCAACACTGCAAGGAGTGTCTTCGGGAACTTTGTTTTGGTTTGCCGGGCTGAACCGACCTTTTGGCCCGATCCTTCATGGTTCCTTTCTACCAGCCAACTGCTTGACTTGGGTCGAATCCGACCTTGACTGCGCAGTGTTTTAGCGTGACTGGCATCCATTCTTGGGAAGCAAGGAAACACATATGGGTGGGCTTCTCACGTTCGCACTGGAATTGGGGATTGGTGAGATGTGGCAAAGGAAAAACACCGAAAGATGGGACCAGGGCCGCTGCCTTGAAGGGCCCCCCACAGAAGAACGAGGCCACCTCCCACCAAATCCCGCACGGCAGGATGCTTTCCAGTTCATGCCGGTCCGGCGCTCAAGCCGAGAAGTGTTCACGTGTCCAGTTTTCCTGATGGTGTTTTACGGGGAAAGGGTCGTGACTCATGACTCAGCGAATGCTGGGCTTGTGCAGAACATGAAGGCACCCGGAAGGGTGATACTCCAAGAGGTCTTACAAGTGCGCTTGTTGAGCAAAAGGTTCCACCCATGTCCGGCTTAGGGCCCTCAGCAGGGGGCCCTCCCGTTGAGGTGTGCGCTCTCATTGATGACCGCATCATTTGCATGCACGGGGGGCTATCTCCGGAGTTGAAGCACTTTGACCAGCGCGGGCCCAAAGCGGATCGAATCGGAAAACGCGAGCAAAAGGTCTCGAAAGCAAACCAAAGCTTCGGTTGGCAAAAGAAGCTAATACTTAGAGAGCACCTGTTGGCATGTTGAAAAAGCCCAATGTCAACCAACCCTTTGCGTTGCTTTGAAAAAGAAACTGAAAGGAAGCCAGCCACTCAGAGGGCGCCCGAGTCTTGGGAAACATCTATTGCTTTGAAGGCGATGGCAGCTGGATCTGGTAAGAGCAGACGGAAAGCAGGGGTTGCCAGTACACGTTGACCAGTTTGTTTAGCGTTTTCAAGCGGCTCTTGCTCTCCAAAGGCCCCTGAAAATGCTTGAAAGCTTATTCCCTGAAAGGAGAACAGGCCGTAAACCGCGGCAAAAGGGAGATTTTGAGCTATCGCTGAAAAGCGCTGGCTTTGCTGAGGATACGAGAAATTCCTCGTCCCGTCTCGCCGGCCTTTTTGCCATGTCTTGTGGCATTACTCGGCAGGGAGTTAATAGCCCAATGATGATATGTCAACATCAATTATTCATAACTGCCGTATATAAGCCACCTAGTGATGATATTTCAGGATGAGCGCCTTCACTACGAGCCATTCAGTCTTTTCGAAGCTGTGCTCCTGGCAAATGCACTCTTGACAGGCAGACATCGGTGATACGGGGCTTCTCTGTGACATTCTGTGGCCAGCGTCTCAGGGTTTTGGAGAAGTCCTAAGGTCCTATGCCAGGCTTGTGGGCTCACGGGGTTTATCTCCACTGTGCAAGGGAATCTTCCCGAAGGATTCTTCAAGCCCTTTTTGTATCGCAGAAGTGCTTATTTCCCACAGCGCTGTGCTGATCCAGGGATCTTTGACAAGTGCCTTTCGACCCTCAGGGGCAATTCCAAGAGGAAGTGGTTCTTTCTGGGGTGAACAAGCTGTTAGGGCCAATTGGATGGGCGGAAGGGGGCATCACATAGGGCTTGTCAAACACAGGCTATTGGGAGGATGCCAAGCCCATCGAGCTGGAGATACAAAAGCCTTGCTCGCCTTTGTACCATCTTTCGCACAGCATGAATTTCCTCTTGTGGGGGTCCCTGTCTAACCCTTTTCCTCTTTCCCTTTACAGCCGAGGCTTCAAGGGGCGTCAAACACGCCCTCCCACGTGGCTAGGTCGGATCCCTCCGCCTCGATGGAGAACTGGGGGGAGAACGACCGAGGGGTGTCCTTCACCTTCGGCTGGGCGCCTCAGGGCCTTGGCGAAGCCTTGGCACGTTTTGGGCGAAGCGGGAGGGTTGGTTTCAACACGGGGCACGGCGGGGCCCGATTGGTCTGGGCACCGAAGCGGCATACTCCTTCATCACAGGCTGAGCCAAGCAGAGCGAGGCCAGAGCACCAACTGGTTCAATTCCTGGGCGCTGACACTGGGCTTTTTCTTTGAGGGAAACAAACAAGCATAGTTTCCAGGTCTGACAAGAATAGTCCCTTTCCAAACCGGGCACCTCTCCTTTGGTTTCAACCGGAGACGTTGCGGCGGCCGCGCGTCAGGCCCGCAGGTGGTGAAGACGTTCCTGAGAAACCACAACCTGGACGCTTGGCACGCTGGTGGTGTCGTGAGCATGGGCCTGCTCCTTCTTGGGTGGTCCTGTTTGGGTTCTAAAGAGAAGCCCTGTGGGAGGTTCACAGAAGACAAAACCACATTGGCAGGTGATCAGGACTGGCTCCGGGGTCTTCTGTGGCTCTGCAACCCACCAGCAAGGCACCAGCTCGGGTAAAAGAAACAGAGGGTATAAAACAAGCAGCTTGACAGCAATCGATGGCCCGCATCTTTGGACAGCCAATGCACAAATGTTGCTGCGTGTTTTTCCCCAGATAGCTGAAAGCTATAGGGGTTCTAACTTCTAATAAAGAGGGGGAAGTGATTTGCGAGATTGATGGGCTGGTGCTAAGGGGCAGTTTGGGGCGCTGTTTGAGGTGCGGGTGAGATTGACGGCTGGGTGCTAGCAGGCATGCAGATGACAGTGCGGGCGCATTTTTGCAAGATTGACGGTAGGGTGCAAGGGGGCATGCAGCTTGGGGTGCTTGTGCAGGTGGTGTTTTGGGGCTGTTTGGCGATGTTGTTTTGCGAGATTGACAGCAGGTGCAAGGGGGCACGCAGTTTGGGGTGCTGTTTGGGGTGCTGTTTGAGGTGCTGGTGACAGTGCGGCGTTTTCACGAGATTGATGCTTTGGGGGTTCTGCTTGGGGGTGCCGGTGCGGGTGCATTTTTGCGAGACTGACGGCAGGGTGCAAGCATGCAGTTTGGGATGCTGTCTAGTGTGCTGTTGGAGGTGCTAGTGACGGCGCGGCCAAGTGCTGTTTCGGGCGGTGCTGTTGAGGTGTTGGGAGGTGCTGGAGCACAATCGTCGGCATGTGTTTCGCTATCTGGGGTCTAGGCTGGTGTATTTTTCCAATTCCGCGGAAGTGGGAACGATCGGCAGACGGGGAGAAGCCCAAGAACCCCTCAGCTCAGGATCTCATTTGCCGAGCTCATCAAGTTGTGGAGGACAGCGCTTGCCAGTCGGTTTTTTGAGGCCTCGGTTGCGGAGATTTGCTCAGATTGCTCAGTTTGGCCAATGCAGCCCCATCAAACGAAGAAGGCCGCAGAGTGTCTTTCCTTGTGCACTCCTTTCTACGTGTGGGTGTGGGTGTGTGTGTTTGGTGACACTGGCGCTTTCCTCTTAAACCCCAACCGAAAGTGGGAATTTCCAAATCAGACACCCAAACAGCAAAGACTTCTGGGTTTCCCTGGATTATTCAGGATTTGGAAGGTGGTCTATGAAATAATTTTGCAGCTTACCCTTCCCGCGGAAGAGAAACTCAAAACGCCGCCAATGGGCAAACAGCCGTGGTTTCAACCATCGTTCTGTTAAAGCAACTGCCCTTTTCCCTGTTTGTCTTGTGTTTTGTTGTTTGTTTTCTGGAAGGAAGGACTTTGGAGGGGAGTTGCAACAGTTCTAGGTTGGGGGGGATGACAAAAATAGTGCTTTCTTTGGTGTTTTCGCTTTTCAAGATGCAAAGGGAGGGCCTTGCTTGGAAACCTTTAGTTTCCCAAACAAAACCACAAAAAAGGGGTGCTCTCACAAGAGACAGACCCGTGTTTCATCGGCCCCAAGAATCTAGGACGGCTACGAGTTCTTCGCCGGGCGGCAGCTGGTCACTGTGTTCTCGGCGCCCAACTACTGCCGGGAGTTCGACAACGCCGGCACCTTTGGCAAAACTCGGAATCCGGGTTTCCTCTTGTGAATGGACAAAATGAAATGAAACCGTCGGTACTTACAGGGGGAATCGAATCATTCTAGGGTTTCTTTGGCGGTGCAGGTTTCGTCCTTCCACAGTTTGGGGGGGGGGGTGGGAGTGCCATTTTATTCCGCCCCAGGGGTGTCTTTTTCTTAGGAACCGGACCCCCAAAAATTGGCTGTTTCTCTTGGTGTCCACTTAAAGCCAAAAAAAGGCGTGCCAACTCCAACAAAAGACACACCCCTACCTTTCCTCTTTCGCTTTCACCTTTTGGTCGATCTTGAAGGGAGTCTCCTCAAGAATTCTTGAGCCAGAGTCATTATGCAACTGAGCGCGGTTCCCTTAGGATCAAGCATTGTCGTTGCATTGCCGCTCTTATGGTCCCTTCCCTTTACTGCCAAGTTTGGCAACGTCTAAGGGAAGAAGCAAGCTACTGATGGACCCCTTCTTTCATGAAGCATGTGGGCCAATTGGGTCAGATTGGCCATTGCATATTGTGCCCTAGATGTCAAGGGACTGGAGACAGAGCTGAGAAACCCAAACGAAGGCAATCATTTGGGAGGCTTACGGGCTCACTAAGCAAAACATGGCCCACTCACGGTGAGTCTCTCAGGGAGAACATGTGCATGGCCACTTGTTGCCGGCAAGAGCCAAGGAGGGCACCTTTTGGATGGCTTTCCGAGGAGACGCTGCTCTACCCCCCTTACTGGTTGGCGTTATTTTAGACACTTATGTTGATGCCCCAAGAGGCAAGCGAAAAAGAAGCTCCAGATGTGTTTTCATCTCAGGTGCGCTGATGAGCATTGACGAGAAGCTGTGCATCTCCTTCCACGTGCTCAAGTCCTGCACTTGAGGATTTAGTCCCGACAAGTGACACCTGTGCTCGTGCGGATGGTGCAAGGGCAGGCCGGAAAACAGCGATCCTGCAGGCTGCGGGAGTGTGGGAGCAATGCCCGGTTTCCAGGCACCTTTGCAGTTTCCTTCTGCGCTCCCCTTTCCCCAGATTCTCCAATGAGTCGATGCCGGTTGTCTCGCGAGCGCACGCCAAGCCGGAAGCAACAGATTCCAAGCAGCTTTGCTCAATGCGAGGCTTACTTTGTTGCCTGAACCAATGTGTGCACGCGAGCGTCACCATTTGGCTCAAGGCTCAGCAGTAGCACGCTGCCATGCCGCAGTACATGCGTCGGGAGCATGTGCCAGAGCTATGGCCTCGTGCGCAGTATGGAACCTTCCGGTTTCCGGAGAGAGAAAGCCCAAACACCCATCGGCACTTAGCAGGTTTCTACGCCCTGGTGGCGATCAAGGCGTTTGCTAAGCTGGTTGCTTTGTTGGTGCCTTGGGGTGCTTTGAATGGGTCGATCTTCAAGCCCGTGTCGGCAGCAGTGAAGTCATGGGAGGGCTCTTTGGAGAAGGCGTGGGAGACAATCGAGAAGAAGTTGGGCGTAGTGCCAGAGGTTGACCGCAAGCTTTGCCACATCAGTTGCGACAAGCATATGTTCAACATCAGCGCCTTTTGTTCGGCCAACACTGAAACACGCCCTCATTGTGAAGAAGACAAGCCCGGGGAGTTTGAATGTTCGACTCGAACGGAAAAGCGAAAGTGGCTGTGGATGAAGAGGTCAGTCATCACCAACTCGCGCGAAAAGATGAGCGCCGCATGGCTACTGCACGGGCCGCCGATTGCGCATGATGATGTGATAACCGAGCGCTTTTGCGCCGAGTGGTGCGGATCATCAAGCGACCAAGAGAAATGGTGGAGCGAAAAGGAGTTCGCGACCCTCTGCCACAACATCTTGCAGATCAATGCACATCCCTCTGGCCAAGGAACGTGAAGCAGACCCATCGAAAGGGCGCTGCGCTTGCCGGTAGATGGACACTTCTCTCAGATGGGAAGATCGGGGAGATTGCGTTGCCTCCAAAGCTCTTGCTGAGGTTGAGATCTTGCGGAGAAAAACGAAGAGTACCTGGGAAGGTCGAGATTCTGTTCCTTCGAGCCCCCGGCATGATTTCCTCATGGGAAGGTCTTTCTTTGAAGTCGAGCAGCTTCTTGGTTTCGTTCATTTTAGTGGAGGGCTGCAGAAAAAGGCAAAGCGTTTTGCGAACACAACTGTTGAGGTGGGATTCTCAACTCAGGAGCAACTGTCAATGCCAAACATGTTCAAGTGCAGATCTGGCCCAAGCACTCCTGCGGTCCCTACCTCGCCTCACAATGTCGGTTTCAGCTGAGGAGGTTGCCAAGCACAACAAGGACCGGGGACTGGCCGCCTGGGGCAAACCTAAAAATTGGTTTATATATTTTTCTGGAATCAAACCTCACTGTTTGGTAGTGTTTGTTTCTTGTGGTAGGCGTGTCCCAAAAAAGACAGATTACAAGTGGGGCTACCTCATTTTGAGCAACCCAATTTGTTGATGGCACACTGATACCTTTGCGTTGCGTCGTTTTTTGCTAATGTTGGAACATGTGGAAACATGGCTTGTGTGAGGAATGCTTGACCAAAATAGCATGGTCTAAGATTTGAAGAGGCTATCGCGTCTGTACCCACTCCCTCTCTCTTGCCGGCTTCTTCTACCTCGGCAACTTCTCTCGAGGTGGAGGATCAGCGCCTCTCGGAGGAGGAGATTGCGCTGGCGGAGATGGAGCTTGAGGGCAGCCGTGCGGGAGGCGGCGGTTTGAGGGTTTGTGCCTGAGGCATTGGAGGCTCCCCAGGAGAGCTCCCTTCTCAACGTCATCTGGAGGCCTGCTTGGCTCGCCTCAAGGTTACCTTTGAGTCGAAGACGATGCTGGAGGTGGAGAGCTTGAAGTCCTCCATTCCAGCAGGGATTGGATTCGTCACGGCAGCGCGCCCTCTTTGGAACACCACCACGGCTGGGCGCGGGCTTGACAGAGCCCCCACTGACCCGGATTTCGGAGGCCTATAGCTACGCCAGAAGAAACAAGCGCACACAGCCAGAGGGCACGGTCGATTGCGACCACATGTGCGCGGTGCGTGGCACGCGCGAGCACCAAGTCCGTCCCCTACCAGCGGCTTTCTGCTTCGTACGAGCTGTAGAATCATCCTCACAACGGACAAGGGGGGCTCTGGGATGGGAGTCCTCGATGGACATGAATCGCCCCCCCTTGGCATTGGTCTGAACGTCCAGCCCAAGTGCAAGCTTCATGCTTGCGAAGTTCGGCTCTTTTTTTCACGCGGAGAAAAAAGTCCGGTCCGATGAACGCGGCTCGGTCGGCAGGGCCTTCGAGGCAGCGGGCTGGGAAGTAACCTCCCTGGACATCGTGTCGAAATTTGAGCCCACGATCTTGCAAACTGGGACTGCACGGCGTGCGTGACCTACTGCAAGTGGGCTCCGTACAGAAGCAGACCCGCCTGTGCATGCGCTGGAGGCGGCAGCCTGCCAGGCGTGGGAAGACGGGAGGCATCTCAGAGGGCCTCGACTGATGGAGGGGCAGCACGAGAAGGTCAGCCGGCAGTTGCGCGAGCTACTCTACGGCAGAGCTTGCGGAGCGGCTGAGCATCCCGGATTAACCCCGGTGACCGTTCTTCCGGCTTCCTTGAAGAGGCCCCTTTTTTTTAAGTGTGCTGGTTTTTTGACCTGCCGCCAAAAACTGGCGGAGAAGGGCAGGGCCTTTTTTTCGTTGCATTTTTTGTGCCTTTTTCGGGCTAAAAGATTGGTGACAGATCCTGTCACCGATTTCTGGAAGGGATGGATGGATTGGATGACTCATCCAACGGCCCAAAAATCGGCTGTCACTGCTTTTTCCGCAACGTTTTGGGGTCAAGATCTGGCTGACTCAGTCAAGCACGAGACTCCTCGGGCGCTGACGCCACTCATGGCGCAGGAAGCCCACACGGCCGATGTCGATGTTGCGCACCGTGTCGTCGTACGTCCCCGCCAGCATCAAGACGAAGTGGAAGTGCGGAGGCTCCCTTCATGGGGTTGCGCGGGTACTGGAGGCTGCCCAGCTGCAGCTGCGACTTAAGGACCTCCTGCCTCGCTGCGCCGACATGTCCTGCCCCAGGTGACGCCCTGAACACCAGGGAGCGCCCGGACAGCAGCGCCCAATTAAAGGACGTGACCAGCACCGAGTCCAGAACCACCTGGGAGGCCAGAACTTGGACGTTCTGGATCTCAAAGTCAGTGCTCAGCGTCGCTCCTGCCGGCCGGGCGTTCTCGGACCACAGCGCAGTCGTGGCATCCGCAAACTCTACCTCAAGCACCAGTACCAGGTTCAGCTGCGGGGCAGGATGCCCACCATGATCACATGATGGGCGCAGCAGCCCGCCCTGGCGCAGGCCATGGCTTGCCAGGAGCACATGGTCCGGACAGCGCGCGAACCAGGCAGTACAAGTTGACCAGGCCGCTGCGGCAACGGAAAGAAGGCCGACGGAGGCCGTGCTCCAGCCGCTAGTCTTGCTCAAGGAGGCCACGAAAAGGTTGTGTCCGCTCTGCGTTTAGGCCTTTTTGGTTAGCTTGCTTACACTAAAGGGATGTCTGCAGAGCAATCTGATCTTGCAGAAGCGACCATGGCTTGCTCCAGAAAGTTCAGGCATGTGGGTATGTGTGCCGGCTGAAGAAGGGCTTGTTTGGGCTCCCTCTCCCCCGCACCCCAGCCCTGTGGTGTCCTATTCAGGCGGAAAATCGCGGCCCTCAGGACAGCGACTGCTGGGTCATTGTGGGTGATCAGGTGCTTGACGTCACGGGGTTCCTGAGTGCACCTGCGGCAAGCTGCCCATGTTTGTCGTTTTGTTTTGGCTGCTGGGGGGGAGTTGTCTGATCTGTTGTCAAACAGGAGCCCGATAATGTTGGTGTTCCCTTTGGCGTCCCTTTGAAGCCACCCCGAAAAAGGGTGCCGCCAAACAAGACACTCTTCACGGGGAGGGTTTGTCAAAGTCAGGGACCTTTTGGTCAAAAAGACGACTGTTGCACCTTGACACGCGGGTTATTTCGCAATGTCCCGCGGGAGTAAACATTTGGACCGCGGATTTTTTTTCAACAAGAAAAGGGCCCAACTTTGGACAACCAAATGTGAGTGACCGGTACCTGAGGTTCCAATTGGCGACAAAAATTAAATCTTCAGGCACACCATGTAGCCAAGTTTGCAAGTGCACGATTCCTGCGTTCTGTGTCGCACAGTCCCCGCAAAGCTACACGTGCAACCAGTTCAGTGATGTGCCGGCCATACCGGCTGGGCTTTTGTTCTGGCTGCGGTGTGCATGAACACGGTTGCTTCCTGGTATCTCTCTTTGGTGCACTTTGAAAGCTCTCAATCTATGTCAGCGCCGCTTTCAAAACAGAAGCACCATGACGCCAATAGATTTTGACTGTGTTGTTGCATCCGGCTATGCCTTCATGTCTATTTTACAATGATCGAAGTTTGCTGGGATGGTTTCTTCGAAACCATCCGCAAAGTTTTTCTTCGGGCTTCCCTTCACCGACCGGCGGCTCTCCCAAAAAGATGTTTGCCTTCAGGGCTCAAATTAAAGAGCTAGGGTTATGCATTGCAAGGTGCCGTTTTGGTACCATGCGTGTTGAGCCACAGCCACATGATGTGTTAACATAGGGACCGAAAGTGCATCAAAAGACTTTCCCACTGGTTTCCCTTTGAAACTACCTAAAAAAGATACCGTACCGCTCAAAGCACAACCCACATGTGCTTCAGGTGAACATCCGGGCGGCAAGAAGTCCATCATGATGTTTGCGGGAAAGGATGCCACCGAGGCAGGCCCTGACAACCCGACGAGAGTTCAGTTCGTTTTCAGGGTACCCTTCTCGGGGTTGGTTTCAAGGACATGTTTTTGCGGATCTGACATGGTCCTCAATAGGGAATCACGGGTTTCGGTAATAAATCTAGGAAGCCCTGAAAGAGAACCATGAGGCATGGTAAAATCAACAAGTCCCGTAAAAGATGGGAAACCATTGCTGAGGAGTTCGACATGCTCCACGACCGCAAGGTCATCAAGAAGTATGGCCTGGATGAGGGCACTGTGGTGCTGAAAGGCACCATCAAGAAGTGAGCGCTTAGAAACAAGGTGCCTCACGACTTATTGGCTAGAAACCTGTCTTGTGGCAGACACTAGCCTGCAAGGCATTTGAGATCTCACAGGAAAAGAGAAAGAAGTGAGAGAGACGGTAGTTCGATGATAGTCTTGAAGTGTAATACGAAACACGAGTCTGCTGCACATTCTGGGCCATACAGCCTGGCAAACATCGTCCGAAAACAAGAAAGCGCGGTCAAAACGCAGTTCCCGCGAAAGAGAATACACGGCAACGTCACTGATGTCTGCAGAAAACAGCGTGTTTCGGATCTGTTGGATGGTTTTAATTATTGTCATATCCCTGTTGAGTGGTTTGTTGGGCCAATTTGAGCTGCATCGTGCGAACAAACGTGCAACCGGGGTCAGAGTGCCGGACATTTCGCATATTCCTGTTTTCTGTTGTCGTGTAAAAGTGACACCATGTATACGGGCTTATCTCAAAACGGGGGATCCTTGAATATGTTTTGCTATATAATCAGGTGTTGGAATATGATTGTTTTGTTAAAATAAAATGTTTTATTCTGGGCCTGCGATCTCTAGTCGGTTAAGCCTTTTTCCCAAATAGTGTGTCCACACTAAGGGGGGTTCTTACGGTTGGTGCCAGATTGAGGTGCTCGCTCTGTTTGCGAGCGTTTTGTATGGTATTTACCGTAGATTCGTGCTTTTGCTTGATGTCGAAGTGCGTTTCGACTGCGTAGGTTCGCACAAAGTGAGTTGGTGACTTTTGTTTGCGAGCGTTTTGCGTGGTATTTACTATAGATTCGTGCTTTTGCTTGATGTTGAAATACATTTCGATTGCGTAGGCTCGCACAAAGTGAGGTGTCGACTTTTGTCCACGAGC